AACAGTGTTTTGTGGAAATGACCCAGTGTCTTTTTAGAATACCTGAACCGATTCTGAATTTCTCCCCTCGGCAGATTGATTAGAAGTAGGAATCATGCTTAACAATTGTTAAACATTCTATTGCACATTATTTTGAAGTTTTTTGAAAGAAAGTAATCTGAAACGTCAAGAAAATTTTTTTAACCAACGATACTATTTTTCCTGATTTCTCCATCTCAAAACCATTAGATTTGTCGATATATTTTGTCAAAGGCACACGCTGTATAACGTAAACTTGTTCGGGTAACTTACCATCTCTACATATCGACAAGTTTTAACAATGTATTTTTTTGCTATTTAAATAAATTTTTTTTAATATATCGTCACCTGAAATGCAAAATTACGTAACAACATCGTCACTTAAATGCAAAAAGTCGTAACTTATAAAAAATCTAAAATTCACTTTTTGATTAAATACTATGTAGGATTTCATCGAATAAAACTCCCCACATTGTGTTATAAAAAAATAACATTAGTTACGACTTTTTCCATTTCAGTGTACTTAGTTTATTCTTTAATAAAACCCTTATAAATCGAAGTCCCAATTTTTGTAAAATATTAAAAAAAAACTTTCGTCAATATTTAAGCTTTTTTTATTAGATTTCTTAGACATATTTTAAGTGAAAGTGAAGGTGTGTAATCTTGTTGATTTTTTAGTCATTTTTTTGCTTTTGCCGATTTTCTTCCACATATAAATGTTCTAGAACTTACTTTGTATGGAAGAACATGCACAATACCGACAACAACAAAAAATCGAAAAATCAACGAAAAGTCTTAGCTACTTTAAACTTTCACTTTATTTTACTAAAATTGAACGGGATTCTCAAAATGTAATTAAAAAGCTTGAAATTTTTACGAAATTTTGTTTATGTTTTGTTTGAAGTTTAGTTTTATATGTTTTTTTTTTAATTAACAATATAATTTAATAATGAAATTAAATAACAAAATAATAAATTGCTAGCACTTATACTTTTGGTACGGGGTGTAATTTATAAAAATTTTGAATGCCAAATAAATTACCTGCCACTCCACTTCAATTTTGTACTGCGTTAAACACTTTGCCTTTGTTGAGAGAGCACAGATTTTCACTTTCAAGGGCGTTCTTTTTATTGAATGATAATTAAGGAGTTCGAAAGTTAAACACTAAAAATCTTTTGCACACAAAAAGCAACTGTAAAACCAGAATTGTATTAAATCCAAATGGAAGGATAAAATCTGCGACTGTTGCAGTTTTACGCACGTCTGCGCAGCGTGAAAGTTTCAACAGTAATGCCGATGCAGACGCACAAAATGTTTTGGCGACAAACAAATCCAGCCAGACAATCAATGTCGCCACCCAAACGTTATTTTTTTACTCGAAATCTTGTTGTTTTCCAATAATTTTTTTTTTTTTTGCTTTTTCTTTTTCTATTTAATATGTATCAGCTGGTTAATTAACATTGGAATTCATTTATTAATAAGTTCTGTATTTATTTACACTTCACTTCCCAGTTAAAAGTCGAGCGCTATACAAGCAAAAAAATAAAAAAATAAAAATAAAAACGAAAACAAATTAACGCCCGCTGAGGGCGAGCAACAGCCACGCACGTGCAACAAGTGGAAATACCATTTGCGAACGCACTGAGAGTGACGTAGAAGCGCAGCGCCACCCAAACCATAAGCGCGCGTGACACACACACACACACACACACACAGAGGCACACGCGCGCCGCACTATAGTAACACACCAAATTTGCAAATTAATTTATTGCTGCAAATGGAATTGACAGCAGAGGCGGGATGTTGGGATGCAGTCGATTGCAACAACTGAATTTGTGTTGGGGCGTTTCACTGTTATAATTATTCAAGTTTGTTAATTACATATTTACTTTTTTATTGTTCTTCATTACTTCTTACTTAGTACTATATAACAATTTGTATCATTCATGAAAATAACGCTATATATTTTTATTGGCACATATGTTTTTCACACACACACGAACGTGCATACATATGTATATATGTAGGCTTTAAATAAGTATTTAATGGTAGGCGCGCACGCCCGTTCAACCCACATTTGCTTGCGTAGCGCTCAATTGCTAAACTAAAACGTAATCTGAAGCTAACAATAGTCAACAGCCAGCAGCCCGCAACCTTTACGCTTTCGGCATACAATGCAACAACAATGCGTCAATTAACGTCACAAATATGATGACAGTGAAATGCTGCCTTTCCATTGACAGCAAAGCTGATTCATCTTGTTGTGCTGCTGTTGGAGCTATTGGAGAAGCTTAGAGTTCGGCTGAGGGCGTAGAAGAGAGGGGGAAGAGCAACGATCCAATCAGCTGTTGTTGCGTGCACCGAAAGTGATTTCGCATGCCACTATTCGTTGATTTCTTCGCGCTCCGAAGAGTATGCAATAAGCAGTATTCCACTGGTGCAACTTTAGAAGATTTCAAGTTGATCAATGTTTAAGGCACACTGTCATAGTGGTTAAAGCGTATTAGATTCCAATAACGAAATGTGTTCTTAAAATAAATGGTACTACTGAGTTCTCTAATGAGGGAGAAAGGTGCTCTCGCTCCTTTCAGAGAGGGGATGCCATTACCATTGTAAATTAAAATACTGCGAGGGTGATCTGATGCTGCACTGCAGAGTACTAGTTTCATAACTATTTGGTGGATCGGTTATCCGGATCTGAGGCCAGGAGAAGTGATTTCTTTCTTTCGCCTACAAACCCTTGATATTGACACTATACAGTGGCGAATCATCTCTCACACAAAATGTAGTATTCGGGAAGGTAGAGAGGGTGCTACTTTGGTTGTGAAGATGGACCAGCACTCAGTGGACATCTTAAATTTAAGGTGCGGAAATCGCCTGTGTTTCGCCTTTGGACCTGTAGTTTTTTTCTTGTAGTTGATTTAGAACGGGCAAGCTGATGCCCACCGCCGATTTAGAACAAGGAAACCAGACGGATTCGGAACGGTAATTTAAGCAAACTAACAACAATAAGTATAAAATATAAATATAAGTAGTGGAAGTATCGAAAAATTGCAAAAATTGCATATTTAAACAAATTTTTATAAAATGGAAGTTAAACGTAGTTCTTCCGAAGAAAAAAACCACCTATTAATGAAAATGCAATTCGTTTGATGGATTCTACCTCATATCGATGAGTTGATTCGAAATGAGTAGAAAATTAAAAAAAAAAAAACTTAAGATACAGGCGTATGAATTGACACCACCAAAACCAAAAACATATGTGGTCTTTTCCACAAGAAAAACAAAAGTTCCGGCTTTTTCTCGGCCAATATCCATCTGACCTGAAACACCTTCCTATCAGTCTAGAATCCAAATTAGGTGGAAAGCGATATATGTAGAATTAAGTTAAGAAGCGCTTAGCGGCTTGCGATACCTGTAAAAGGGTATTTTGAAAACCACTGCCGAAGCTTTTGAAACCCACTGAGTACTGTGGCCATAAATATATCACCCATAGTATTACCACCGTAGTCAGCAGTGCCGTCGTTACCTGTGAAGGCCTTCAAAGGGGCTACATCATGTCGGCTTCAAGCTTCAATTTGAGAATACCTATACGCTTTTCGACCAGAGCAGAGTGGGACGTTGGGCTTAGTGGCAGATGATGGTACGTGTATTACAGCCCTCTACACTGTGATTCAAAGTTAGAGCAAGGAAGCGAGGTCGCTCTCTATTCAGAAGATATGCTGTTCGGCTAGTTTTTTCATCTGGCAAATAACTGCAGTGCTTTCTGGTCTAAGATTTATGCTATGTATAGAGAATGGTGTTAGTCTTCTACTCAGTCAGAAAAACCAACAACTTCGTCAATAGTCTAGCGGTCTTGAAAGCACTTTGAGTTGAAATTGGGCATTGTTTAAAAATGCTGTATCGTACTCTTGCTGGGTTCCTGAAAAACGCAGTATGTAGAAAAACGAGACAGCTAATGAGCTGCCCAGGTGAGGCTCTGAGATGCGAATAAACGAGGCAGAGAATTCTATAAAACCGCCATTTAGGGATCTATGTGCGAAAGTTAACAGACCTACGGTTCGTAAATAAGTTTTCAAGAAAAATGACTTTGAAAGTAACGTTTCCAAATGTTTTTGTCAACGGTGGTGAGTTTTCTCTGCCGAAGCTTCAGCGATGGGTATGAGCAGCAATCAATTTTGGGTAGGCAGTAGCCCATTTAATTTTAGTATAATAAAATGGAAGCTCGAAATGGCCCAAAAATTCTCGGTGATTTTTGATTGTTTTTTTTATTTTTGCCGATAGTTTATGCAGTTTTTTCCATGTAAGGCATGCTTTCTGTATAGAAAAAATGTGCAACATCGTATGGAAGGAGATTGCCAAAAATCAACCAGAATTTTGAGCCACTGCAAACTTGCACTTTGATATACTAATATTAAATGGGCTATTAATCTGCGAAATATTCCTAAAAATTTTTTTTACAAAATTTCAATTTTTGCTGCCTGATCTTCAGTTGGATTTTAACATTGACCCTCATTATATTTAAGTACAAAAAGCCAAAAGTACAAACATATGTATACATATTTTCTTGGGCGAGTAAACTATTGTGGCGCCTGACTTCTCAGGTCTAAACCACCATGTGGGGACCGCTGAGACAACTCACAATGAATCTTACTTTAATATTAGTATACAAGCTCGATAGAACTTCGGACGAGTAAGTTCGCGGCGATAGAGCGGTGCTACTTAAAATTCAACATTGAACCTATCTCTTCGGTTTTGAATAGCTCATTCACGAAAACGTCGCAAGCCAAAGAAGTATTTATTTACTCCTCAAGAATGTACTTTTTGAAAAATATATAAGTATTGTTGTGTATAGGAGTTGGGTAATAAAGGAGATTTTAGGCAAGACTTTCATTGCCTTGTAAACCTGTTTTAAAAGACCACGAACATCTGGTGGTTTCTATTACTTATATAACTATTTGGTAATTGAAAGATGTACTCACATTGAGGAAATCACGCAGCCACACTACTTCCGGCTTTGGATCGCCAACAACTTCGCAGAATATGATGACCGTATCGCCTTCATAGGCCTCGCTAGAGCGTGGCTTAACAACAAACATGGGCTGTTTGGAATATCTGAAAGAATAAAAAAAAAAACAATAAAAAAGCCGTGGCGATTGTCCTAAGTACAAACAACTTACGGTAGGTCACATTTCACAATCGCCGGTATGTGGCTGCCAGCCCGCTGTCCCTTCTGCTGCTGATCCTCGTCGGGTTCTTCGATTACCACACGACAACTGCTCTCCACTTTACCAACTGCATTTGAAGCGACACACACGTAAATGCCCGCATCGTGTAACGTAGCATCGGCAATCACCAACTCTACGAAGCCGTTGGCGTCTAGCGTGCCGCAAATGCGTCTGCTGGGACGTAAACGTACACCATTGTGGTGCCACGAAACACCCACCGTGGGATAAGCTTCCACCTTAGCAGTGAGCCGTATCTCCTGTCCTTCTTGGTAAATATACAAAGGATCGAGCGGCATGTAGAATTCCGGCGATATGTAAGCGCGTATGCCCTTATCCACGACCAATGTGCAATGACACGACACCGAACCCAGTTCATTTTTAGCTGTGCAAGTATAAACTCCACTATCATCCAAAATAGTACTCGCCAATTCGATTGTATGGAATTGCCCATCGTCTGTAATGAGACAGCGCCGACTCTCAACGATTTGCTGATCATCCTTATACCAAAATACTTCAGGTGTGGGATAGGCCACAACTTGGCACGTCAGACGCACTGGATACGTCATTTGCACGCGTCGATCACGCAAACGCATTGTGAATATGGGCAGCGTGTCACCAGCTGGGGCTACTTTATCTGAATGAATAATTTCCTTTAGTTTTGTATCGGCTTCATACAAACGCAGATCGGAGACAATTTGTACGCGTGCGAAAGTCGATACCCTGCCCTTGGCGTTCGTGGCTTCGCAAGTGTAACGACCAGCATCCAACTCTGAAACTGGCGCAATTATTAGCGTGCAGGTCGAGCCGATTTGTCGAATTCTCATTCGTTCTGCTAATGGACTGATATGCATGCCATCCTTATACCAATCAATTTGGGGGCGTGGCGCACCACGTACTGCACACTCCAGCGTCAGCTGGGTGCCCAGCAAGGCCTTCAACTGACCGGGTAGAATCTTAACGAATTCTGGTAGGCATTCAGCGCCGCCTACTTGCAGTGGACTACTAGTTTGCACCGATGGACCCCAGCCGTAGCGATTCTTGGGCGTAACACGGAAATGATATTCAACATTCGGCTTCAAATTGAAGGCGTCAAACGAATTGATGGGAGTTAGGCCCAGCTCCTTCCACATAGCGCCACCTTCATGGCCAACGATCCAAGCATCTACGCGGTAGGCGATAACAGGCGCAGAATTATCGCGCAGCGGCTTACCCCAAGAGAGTGAGATGTGCGTGGGACCGGAGTCGACTACCAAGGGTTCCGTGGAGATGGGACCTGGAGGATCTGCGACATGTTGAAATAGAAAGGGGTTGATAAATACACAGAGGTCAAATGGATACAAACTTATATGCAATAAGGGCGTTGTTGGTGGTGGTGACGCGCTAAGAAGTTTACTCAATAAAACACCATGCGATTCCCCGGAGAAACATTTTTATTTATTTTTATATAGTTCTTGTATCTAAATGTAAAGATGGATATGATTTTAACCATTTTCTAAATTAATTGAACAGAAACCGTATACAAACTATTGTAAATACAATTGTAACAAAATAATTTTTAAAAAAGTAAAAGATGCAATATTTCAATTGGAATACTAAAGAAATTTAAATACACTTTTAGGAAATCATAATTTTTTGAGAAGTTCAAATCTGTAAATGAAATCAAAACAAACTCAAATCCATAAAGCCCTTTTGAAAAATCTGCAAAATAAATATAGGAAATAGAGAAAAACTTTGAGAAGCTTAAAGCTTTTAAAACAACTAACGAAAAATCGACAGTTGACGAAACAAAACAAAAAACGACAACGTAAACACGAAAGACTAAACTTTTTACCCAGTAACTAACACTCTCGACAGAACCACCATTGGAAAACACAACATATTTGTTTCACATACACATAGAACCATAGAAACTCACCTCTGAAATATGAAACGTCAGGGAAACTTTCGAGTCGCTGTCCCCAGCGTGGCGAGGTCGGCGTTTCGGAGCGTGCGCGTGGCATTACCTATTGAATCGAGATGTTGTATGCCACATGGACACCAAGAAAAACAAATCAAAAACAATTACACAAACACAAATGGATAGTAGGCAAACAAAAGAAAACAAAATGAAGAAATAGGAAATCGAAATTTGGGACAACAAAACATAAAAAGCTATCTATTGTTAAGAAGCTTTAGTATTTAAGCTTATTTGCTATTTTTAAAGAGGCGTAGCTCGTCATTTAAGTATTACTGGATGATCATAATTATTTTGAGGGGGTGCTACTTTCTTTCCTTTTGGGAGCTTTAACCTATAATAAAATAAAGCGATTAGTGGTAGTAAGTGCTTGCGAGTTTTTAAATTAGATTGTACCGGAAAAAAGTTCGCCCTACAGCCTCGAATCTAAAGTAGCTTTGAAAAGCGATTTCGAAAGTCGAAAATTTTTGGGCGATCATAGATTTCACCCCCTTTTCGTTATATCTTCGTCATTTAGTCTCGAGAAGAAATTTTTTTTGTCAAAGTTCATTGATCTCAAACACTCCGTTATACTATTTATCCACCAATTCGTACTACCCTAACTTCTTATTTGACACTACAACCATGTGTCGTAATCCTAACATAACACCCTAATGTCTATAAAATAAATATCTCCAAAAATCATTAAACTTTTGCTAAGAAAATGTGTTGATAATTCCATTAGAACTATTTAAGAAAAATTTATTGCCGAATGGAAGTATTACCGAAAAATATAAAAAGGCGATAATTAAGTTCGAGCCAAAAAAAATTTAGAAATTTATTTTCTAAAAATATTTTGGACTTGGGGTTGTACGGCGAACTTTTTTGTTTGCTTGTAAGGTGGTACGGTCTAAAGTACATAGTTGAAGAGCAAGGCATTTGCGGAGCTTTTCATTTTTTTTCATCGCCTGTCAGCTTAAGAGTGTCTATTCGGTAACGAGTTAGTGATTCAGAGTCCTTATTGCCGTTTCGCAGCGCCGCTTTTCGGATAACCGCCAGCTGGTTTAACAGCACAAAGTGTGTGTTTGTCTATTAGAGCATTAACACAAGTCGGTGTCTGGTTATACACAATTTGTGGCGACAAATCATCTGCTGGTTAACCCATTCGTGAACAGATATTCTGCAAATTAGTCTACCTGCTATTGGTCTTCTCCTCGACTTGTTGGAACAGAAATCTCATATGGACTCGGTTTATTCGTCAGACCCTTTTTTGATCGCGCACTCGGCAGCTTCTTTGTTTTCCGAGAAATCAAGCCTAAGTTCTGACAAAGAAAATTCACTCGAAAAATAGGACAGTAGTTTTACTAAACAGGCCTAAGAGAAGAAGAAAAGGAGATTGGGACTGGAAAGCAAAGATCTCAGAGGCCGGGTGCTTGGCTGTAGAGTTTAATCTAGTTAGAGGCATACAACCGAATCAGATTTGTCTCCAAACCCTATTTGACTTAGAACAACGAATGTATGTTTACCAAAAAAAGGCTGTACTAATGATGACTGATACCAACATCGGGGCAGAAGAAGTTTTTAGACGTAGGAAGATCGATATCCTGACACATCAGGGCTAGGAAATCAGTGCCCGGATAGACCAAACATGATAGCCTAGTATGTTGATATCTCATTGACCACAGAGAGTTCCGGGATAGCTTTGGTTAGACCGAGGTTGAGATACTCGGAACCTATGGGAAAACATATGTACATTTCCAGAAAGAAGCGCGGACTTAAATATCAAGCTCAACAACCGGAATGTTGACTTATGGCCAAGCATCTGTTAAAACTCTCATGTCTCATCAGGTAGCATCTAAACTGGTGATGAAGTGCCTCAATAAGCTCTTAGTCAGACCCATCGAGTTTGGTTCTTTGCGGTATATATTGGTATTGAAGGAAATGAGATTGCTGATAAGCTTCAAATAAAGCAGCATCAGCCCCTTTCATCGGCCAAGAGCCCGGCATTTCAGCATCCACCCACATTTCCTGAAAACCACTGTATTTCTTATCCAAACAGCAGCCCTGCCTAGCTCACAGCCATCGTTTATGGGATTTGTTGATTTTCTCTAACTGTTTAACAGCGGTAATATTATCTCATAAACATTATCACTTTAATAGCCAAGAGCTTAATTAACTCTACCGCGCGTAGTAAAACTAAAAAAAAAGTTCTTATAAAGTCACTGGAAGTATCATTTGCAATTTCGAAAGGCGGTCTCTCAAAAGTCTCAAACAAATGACTTGCTCTTCCTTAGAATATTGTTAGTTTACCAATAAATGCATTAGAATGGTTAAAATTCCTCGCTGTCCCCTTTCAACTTACCGCAACAGTCACAAATACTCTGTCGGTGCCGAAGTTGTTGCGCGCAACGACAAAGTATGTACCCGAATCGGCGATTTGTGAACTTTGCACTGTAAATCTGGTGTAGTCATCCGATACCTCCTTACTAACTCTATCTGATTTGGTTATGTCCTTAGTGCCTTTCAAGAAGGATACTGAAAATACAAAACAAACACAAAGACACACCAAATCAAAATTCACACGAATAACCTAGACTTTTCCAAAACACTCACATTTTGGTTTCGGGTCGCCAGCAATACGGAACGAAATCGAGAATGGATCACCAACTAAAATCTTCATTTCGGTATCTGGTCTGGACAGGAACAACGGTGGACGTTCATCCTTCGGTACACCGGCAGCCACATCAACACTCACATGTGATTCAATGCGACCGAAGGCATTCGAGGCACGACATGTGTACGTACCCTCGACTTCGGGTTGTGCATTTAATATAGCCAGTGTATAGACGCCACCTTCCATAAATGTTTGTACGCCCGGCAGGGAAGAGACATTTTTACGATCTCTTAGCCAATGTACCTCCAGTGGTGTGGATGATTTCATGAACTCAGCCGAAATGGCAACTGTACCGCCGGCACAAACCGTCTGGTTGCTGAGCGGTACACTAAAGTGTGGCTTATTGGGATCGCGATGGAAGTAGCCGTGTGTCTTCTCGAGTGCGAAACGTTCACGACCAACGAAGTCGACTTGGTGAGTGATCTTATTTTCGGCAGCTTCATTGCGGGCAACGCAAGCATAGAGACCGGAATCCTTCTCGGTCGGATTGTTAATAATCAATTTGGTATGGCCATCTGCAGATGTGATAATGTTATAGCGATCGCCTTCGTTGAGCGGTTCGGTGCCTTTCAACCATTGTACATCGGGACGTGGTTTACCGCGTACACGGCAATCCAGAACCAGTGTATTCTCGTTAATCGTATAGGTATCTGATGGATGGAAGAGGGTTATCAAGAAGTTATAAACAAGTTAAGGTGGATTTGTACAGAGCAGGCGGCAATCAAAGGAGCTGAAAGTAAAACTTGTGGTCGGTTTTTATCAGGGAAACTTATTAGAGAAAGCCTCTCCCCAAATTTGTGTAGAAACCCGATTTGATCGCCATCTACTCCGTCAAGCAAACACAAAATTTACAACAAAATCACACTTAACCACCGATCACGAAACACAAAAACTTTTGAAAAAAAATTACTAAAAATCTGTCTGCCCCACCCCTCAGGTCAGTAATATGTGTCTCTTAGGAATACCTACTTAAAGATCTTATTTGAACTATACTCCACCTCGGATTGATTGTACAAACGCGGTTGGCTGTACAGCGTCCTCGTAGTGCTTGTAGATCCGTAATTGCGCGTGCGTAAACGTTTCACCATAATCGTTGATGGCACGACAAGTGTAATTGCCGCTATCATCCACACTCGTTGCACCAATATCCAACGAAGCAATACCATTGCGGAACATAGTCAAATAACGACCATCATTCAGCAGCGGACGATGATTCTTCAGCCACTCAATGCGCGTATCACCGTCGCAAACCACATTACAACTCAGTCGTATGCTGGAGCCCTCAGTGACTGTGCGATCGTGTAGCAAAGTACTAAATAATGGTTTACTCTGCGAAATCATGCCTAAAGGACGACGTTCGCGCGCGCGTTTAATAACAGCTTCAGTGCTGCCGTGGGCTGATGCATTGCCGTTGCTAGTAATCGCTTCGTAAGGCGTTTGCGAGGAACGACGCCTATGTGATATGTATTCGCCGTTTGTGGTTACCTCTGTGGCCGTGGACATTAAATGCTTCAGCTCGCTGGTACGTATGGACTTGCTGATAGCGTGTATGACATCATTGGTTTCAGCGAAGCACGAGAAAGTGCCACAGTCGGAAGGTATAGGATTGCGTATGACTAATTTCCGTATGCCACCCACCGCTTCTATAGACTTGTAACGATTATTGGAAATGCTGTGATCATCGCGTAGCCATGTGACATTCGGACGGCCATGTACTTGACAGGTGAGTGTGATCTCGTTCCGTTGCGCATCATATGTTTCTAAGGGAAGATATATTCAAAAGTGTTACGCCTATATGGAAAATGCAACTCAGATTACTGCTAACTATATAGGGTAACCACGAAATTTCTGTCGGCAGTCTACCCAAATTTAGACCTCATTCCCCCACACTACATTACCTTTGATATCGCTCGCAAAACTACTAGGCAGTTTGCCGCTTGCTTGTTCGTAGACGGTTAATTCGCAACTGCTTTCAATCGCATTCTTATTATTTCGCACCACACACTTGTAGACGCCTGTATCGTCAGCTCTTGCGTTGTGTATCTCCAAGCTGATTGCTCCATTAATATTGTATATTTTATGACGCGTATCTTTGGTAACGCGCTCGTCGCCGCGCAACCAATAAACCTCTTCAATGTAGCCACTAACATAGAATATGAGCTGCGCCTTATTACCCTCTGCTATGGACATTGGTTTCATTACAGTCTCAGCACTCAACTTGAGCTTCTCCTCCTTTGCCTTCGACTTCAGCTGCGCGCTGGTTTCGCGTTCATTGATTCTAGCGCTCGCATCAGTTGGTGCGGGCTCCTGTATGACCTTTTCTATGGTCCGCTTCTGCGTTAATTTCTGCACATAGTCGGATATGTCCAAAAATTTGCTTATCTTCATCTGTCCGCTCTCGTTCTCTGCATAGCAAGTGTAGAGCCCTGTGTCGGTCTTGGTTGGCTCTGTGATGAGCAGTTGTGTGACACCGTCGCCTATATCAGCATATCTGTACTTCGCGCTGTCCAGAGGCAGCAACGTATTGTCTTTTTGCCAATAGATATTAGGCTTAGGATTGCCGGATACCTTACATTCGAGCACAATTTCATTTTGATCTTTCTGATAAGAATCTGTATGAAAAGTTTAGACAACAAGGCGAGACACAGAAGATGAAATCAAACACAAAGTGACTAAGAAATGATTTTATGTTACAGTTAGTTGCCTAGGCTCATAATGCGGTGTTAGTAGCAGCGGTAAAGCGCTTAATTTATCGCTACCCCTATAGTTACTTTTATACGCTAACATACCTGCGACTCTTCGACAACACCATTGGACGCATAGACACAATTCCTCAATAACAAGAAGTTACACATTTCCAAGTTCACATCAAAAACACATGCAATTACGCTTTACCTTTGATGCCCACAGTAAAAACGGGCGCCACCAACTCCTCCACACCGGTTCTGTAGACAAATAGTTCGCAAGTGCTAACCACCTCATTCTCCGAACCTTTGATGCGCAGTGTATATTGGCCAGCATCTTCTTCGGTTACGCCTATCAAATTCAACCATGCAATACCATCCTGGCAGGACAGTTTGCTTTTTGGTCCAAAAGCGATAGGCGTATCGCCATGGAACCAACGTGCAGTTGGCTCCGGTCCATCGATATTGACCATCCATTTAACGTTGCTGCCCGCCTTCACGGTACGATTTGAGAGGAAATTTCTCAGGTATAGATATTTCTTTAGATCTGGTGGAGGTGGCGCTTCACGTCTGCCACCACCGCCACCCTCCTCATCGTCCTTAGCCTTCCTCTTCTTTTTCTTCTCTTCACCCTCCTCGCCCTCTTTCTGTTCCTCCTCTGTTGCTGGCTTCACTGGTGGTCTAGCCTCCTTCGATGGCGAAACTGGACGTCGGCGTCTGGGTTCCACGGTCACAATGTGAGTAATCTCAGTTTTTCCTTCACGATTTTCAGCCTGACACACATATTTGCCACTATCGCCCTGTACTGGATCGATTATGAATAGCTCGCATAGACCATCGTCGTGATCGATTTGCTGATACTTTTCGCTTGATTCAATTTTAACACCATCCTTAACCCAAGTCACAGTTGGTGTGGGTAGACCACGCACATGCACGTCCAGCTGTAGCTCATTGATCTTGCCATGATAGGTATCTTTGATGTTGCGCGTGAATGTGGGCGGTACATCGCCAGTGCCGGGATCGGCATACACTTCCAATTTGCAGAAGGTGGACGCCTCGCCAGTTTCATCACGCGCCCAGCACTTGTACACACCGCTGTCCTCAGCCGTAGCACTGAATATTTCCAGCAGGCATAAGCCTTCACTGTAGCGTCCCCTAATTTTAGGGCCATTCTGAATGGCTTCGTCGTTCTTGAACCATTTAACTTGTGGCTCCTTCGACTCTAAGAAGCAAGATATCTTCACTTTAGAACCCTCAGCTACAACACGATCGCGCACAGATGTAGCGAAATGAATGCCGATAACCTTTTCACGTTTCTTAAGACTACCAGCATCCGAGGCATACTCGGTTGCCGATGAGGTAACTTCTTCCTCCTCTTTCTTTGCTCGCTTAACCTTACTCTTGCCTTTGCCCTTTGCGTCCTTCTCTTCCGATTCACCTTCGGTCGTATCACCTTCTTTGGCTGCTGCCGCTGTTGGTGCTGGCTTCTTCTCTTCCTCTGTTGCCTTGGGACGCAACAGGCTCTTATCAGCATGGAATACACCATGGATATTCTCAGCGATATGAGAAGCACTACCCTCAAAAAGCACCGTGTGCAAAATTTCACTCTTTCCAGCGCTATTCTCCGCGCGCACCACATATTTGCCGGAGTCCTTTTTATCGGGTCTATCAATGATCAATTCGCAAGTGCCATCCTGGTGTTGCAAAATTTGGAAACGTCCACCACTTTTTATTTCGAAATTATCCTTAGACCATGTTACCTGCGGCGCAGGCTGGCCACGTACTCCCGTCTCCAAGATTAATTCATTTGTATTCAGATGATAGATTTCTATTTGAGAGCAATAACATAAAATTAGTTATTATGTAACTCACTCGATTGAACTCACAAGATTACGAAATCATTTGCAAAAAAGAAAAGGAATAACACACACTGGCTCGTGCCAATCTAACAGTAAAGGCATAAAGTCGCTACTTACCTTTCAGTGAGCGCGTAAACATCGGCTCCACATCGCTGCTGACCTTCGGCGAGTAAACGTGTATCAAGGCCGAGGTGGTTATTTTACAGAATTCATTTTGCGCTGTCAAAGTGTAGACGCCAGAGTCTTCGGGCGCAAGATTCAGGAACTCCAAGCAGGCCAAACCCTCGCGGCTCATATTGCGTATGCGTGGTCCATAGGTAATATTTTGTTCATCTTTCTGCCACTTAAAAGTGGCATCTGGACCGCCGACAACTGCCTGCAGTTTAACCTTAGAGCCCACGGCTACATAGCGATTCGATAGATTCGCAATGAAGTACAATTGCTGCTTTGGTGTGGGATCGGGAATGCGACTGCGACGCTCATAGGTGCCTGACTCAGCTTCGTCGTCATCCTTCTTCTTGGATTTTGGAAGACGGCTGCGCTTTTCGGACTTCTCACCCTTTTGGCCAGCCGCTTCTCCAGCGCCAGCTTCGCTATCCGATTCGGTCATTACGTTGGACAATAAACTCGAACGACGCGACAATTGCACAACTTCTACAACAACTGTGTGTGTGGTCTTCTGGCTGCCCAATTTATTTTCAGCTATGCAAGTGTACACACCGCTATCATTCGTTGTTGGCTTGTTAATGATCAGCTCACAGATACCGTCCAAATGCTCGATCTGTACGCGACGATCATCGAGCACAACTGGTAAATTGTCCTTTACCCATGTAATCTTGGGGCGGGGGTTGCCGCGCACCTTCGTGTCGATAATTAAATCGTTCTGCGACGAGTGGTATACATCTGTGAATTTGAACAGAGACAGACATCAAAGCGATTTGCCGCGAAAGCTTTCGCTGGTGACAATTAAAATGCTGGCACACAAAGAAACTCCGACAAATTGACACAAAAAGCGATATTTGTGAATGTGAAATGCAACGTGTCTATTTTGGGAATGGACACCTCGACCCCAATTGGGGTATTTAGGTCTTTCGTTTAAACGATTCGATTGTGCGAACGAGCGGTTGTGTGTGATTGAATGCATCGATTACTGAATTTTCACCAACAAATATGTATGTACAAACACTAAGCAACCACACAAACACAATACGCCCGTATGCCCCGTGTACAGGTGTGTATCTGATTCCCGGTATCTTACGACAATAAAATGCGACACAATTTGAGTGACAAGGATAACACGAATTCACTAATCATCTCAACAAATACATACAACACCGACGGAATAAACAAACACTCCCACATCTGCCATACCTCTGAGTGGTAGTGCGAACATTGGCTCCTGTTCATCGCCATCAGCCTGTGCACTGTACACCTTGAAGTAGCACTGCGTTTCAACTTCGCTATGTTCGTTCTTGGCCACACACTTGTACACGCCTGATGCTTCGGATGTAACCTTGCTCACCTCAAGTATGGCCTTGCCTTCCTCGGATAGATTCTTAACAGTGGGACCAGCCACCACCCACTTGTCATCTTTCATCCAGCGACAGGTGGGGCTCGGTCCGATGACAGTGCACACGAAGCGCACAGTGCTTCCTTCCAGTGCCATGCGATCGCGCAGTTGTGTGGCGAATGTGAGTTTTTGCTTCGGCGAAACCAATGGCTCGGGTGACGCGCGATGTACGCGCTCCCTTGCCTCAGCCGCTAGTGAGGTGCGCTTAAGGTCTGAGGCGGCTTTTGATTTGAGCGCCTCCGTCATGGCCTTCTTTGCCGACAACTCCTTGTCCTTTTGTAGACGATCGCGAGCGTGGAAGATGCCGCGCGCATGGAAATGTCTATTTTTGGCCACTTCGACGTGATGGCTAATTTGCACTTCGCCGCTGGAGTTCACTGCCTTACAGATATAACTACCGCTATCCCTATCATTCGGTTTGTAGATGAGCAACTTGTAGGTGCCATGTGCCTCCTCAAGCATGGTAAACTTGTAACTCGGCTTGATTTCGAGGCCACCTTTCATCCAAACGACAACTGGACGTGGCACGCCGTGTAAGTGGCACTCTATTGTGAGCTCATCGTCACGCAAATGGTAGTACTCTGTAAAGGTAAAATTTCCCATAAAAAATATACCCCACACGGCAATAAATATACCTGTAAGATCTCTTACCTTTGACGAGCTTGCATGAAGGAGGTGCTGGTTCATCCTTGAATATCTCATAGATTGTTATATAACAAGACGACTGAACGGTATCGTTGGAATTCGCCACTACACAGGTGTACTCGCCGGAATCTAAAATCGTCGTATTTACCACCTCCAATGCCAAAATGTTGTTGTTGTTGATGATGCGATGTGTGGCATCACGCTCCAATTGCCGACCATCCTTGAACCATTTCACCGACAACTCGGGACCGCCGACAGCACAAGAAATACGCACATTATGGCCAGCTTCAACGGTACGATCCGTTAAGTAGACAATGAAATGTGGCAAACGTGCTTGCTCGCGTATACGCTGCCATTCGGCATCACGTTCCTTCTCGCTCTTGTGTATGCGCAAACTGTATTTGCGCATTTGTTGCATAAACTCCTCACCCTCTTCCGCGGCGATTCGCTGCCATCGTTCCTCATCGTAGGGATTGGGTCTGGTGAACTCCTCAGATGAATTGCTGCCACGGCGCTTCTTGCTCTTTGGCAGTTCAGGTACCACATCCTCTTCCTCCGCCTCAGCGTCAGCACCTTCCTCTGGGTCTGCTTCTTCGTCCCGATATTCGCTGCCACCATCATCGGCATAGTCGCCGCCATACGACTCAGTGCCAGCGTGTGATTCATCACCCTCTTCGTCCTCTTCTTCGCCGCCCTCATCTTCTGGCTCCTCGTCCTCCTCAGCCTGTTCGGCCGCCCGCTGCGCGGCCAACTCTGCTTCAATGCGGTCCTGCTCCTCTTTCTCCTTCTTCAAGCGTTCTTGGCGCTCAGCAAAAGTTTCGCCTTTGGGCTTAGAAGCTGCTTTAGCTGCTGCATCTTCGGCAGCTTTAGCCGCTGCCTTGGCCTGCTCCTCCATTTGCAAGACAAGTTTACTCTTCTTCGGTGGTGGCTTGGGTGCAGGTCCTGCGGCCTGTTTTTCCTCAAACATTTTCTTACTGGCCTTTTGACCGCCGCCCATTTCCAATTTCAAGGTCAACTTGGGACTGGGCGATTTCTCCTTCTTTTCTTTTTTCTTAGGGGCAGCCTTCTTTTTGCCCTTCTTTACAGGCTCATCGAATTCATCCGGCTCGATACTCTCCTCTCGGTCGGCGCTTTCAATATCACCGGACTCCGCTTCAGCTTCCGAAATAGAGCCGGATCTTGCATCCTTTTCGACTGACTTGCGTGGTGTGCGCGCCTTCTTGCCCTTGGCTTTCTTCTTCGGCTTCACCTCCTCTATGATTTCCTCCTCCTCTTCGACATCCTCGTACTCCTCAATCAAGTAGATAACCTCAACATTCGATACATCCATTACGGCAGCACGATCAATGACAGACAAATCGGTCGTTATGTAACGCACAGGCTTTTGAACTTCCTCGCTCTCTGTAATATCCATAACCAATGCTCGATCAAAAACGGCTTTATTGCAGGTGATTTGAGTTTTAATATCCCTGCCAAGTTCGAAAGGAGTTTTCTCGCGCTCCTCGCGTTTCAAGAAAGGCGTTATGCTGCGCCATGTCGAAGGCGTAGCGCTGCGACGATTCAGGTATAGCGAGAACGGGGTTTGACTCCTGCCGCGTATGGGTGTAGCGCTGCGACCGCGCAGCGTACCAGGAGTTGGCGATTTCACTTTCCGACGTTTCTGCACCGGGACCGCTAACGTATCCTGTACAGGAGTCGATTCGGGCTCCTCAGAGGGTCGCGTATCGGCTGCACCGACTTCACCTTCCGTCTCTCCCATCGTTTCGACAACTTTTTTTTTATCGATCAAGGATCAAACGAACGAGGTTAAACAAAATAGCGCGTGCTTGCGTTTATTAAATAACAAAACAAAAATATTTCGATTTATTACGGATTTTTAAACTTTTCGAGGCGTTTATTAGCTGAGTTTATAAATTCTATATTATTATATATGTATATATATAATATTTTCGGTAAAATTCCAATGTAGCGGCTCGATTGGGAGAGAGCGTTCGAAACCGTTCGATTAGAAATTTTAACTATAACTGAATTGAATGCGCCGAATAAATTTCAAATGGTTTTTTCGACACGATTAAAAGACGGCGCGACGTCTGTTTTCGATTTAACGACCAGCGAAGTGCTCGATTTCGAAGTGCAGCACCAAGCAACATACAAAATGTTGGCCACGAGCAATCAATTAATTGATCAATCGAATGGCGAAGAATGTCCGAACGATTTGCAGCGATTGCCAATAATCTAAATTTACTTAATTGTCATAGATTCACGCGTTATTTATTCGGGTTTATTTTTCTCGATTTGTAATTATGTAAACAGGCAACGAAGAAGCCAACGAGGCTGCGTGGGTGTGGTGCAGCGAGCGGAAAAGGTTGCTGCGAGGGAAGTGTTTTAAGTAACTGCGCGCGGTATTTTTAGCGAAGCTATTTTCTGCAAGCAGTTGGCGTGTAGGTAATTAAATTTTGTACCTTTATTTTTATATTTTTTTTTTTGTCATGACGATTTGCAAAACTTATTCTTTTCAGCCCGATTTGCACTGACACCTTAATTTCGAAATTCAAATCAATGGATTTGAGAGATTGCTCGAAGCACAAAAAAAACAAGAAAAGAAAAAAAGAGCAAAGCGACGGCAACGGCATTGAATCATACTACGCGGAAACGCCACTTTCCGATTATTTCGAATTCGGTTCATCATGTGAATGCTGCGATTGTTTTGATTTTTTTTTCTATGAATTAATACTTTAAATTTGGTCTAAATAAATTTTTAATCACAAATATAATCACGAGACGAAGATTACTTGAAATATCGCGCTACTTACCTGTACACAAATGTATGTATGTATATCGTTGATCGTTTTAGAGATTCGTAAAAAAAAATATAAAATCATATAAAAGTTGTAAGTAAAATTTTTTTATGTACCTAAATAAAATTATTCTCCATGTATAGAGACATGCAGAACATTACGAGTCAGCTAAATACATCCGCTGATAATAGTTCATTGCAATACATACTAGGTGCGAGCATTAAACATTCCTTAAACGGCTCACATCTTAAACATTTCAAAACTATTTATTGATATCTCTCCTCTTTATGCCTTATCAATAGTGGAATTCGCGCTTCTGTGTATTCGTTGAATCTTGCTTAAATGTAACTGGACGAGCGTGAGATTGTTGTCGCAAGTGTATTTATTGTACTACTATCAACAACAAATCACACGCTCATTCAATTACAGTTACACAAGATACAACGAATAAACAGAAGCGCGAATTCCACTAATGTACATAACTTCGTTATCTAATTAAGAAAAAACTGTAGTGCCGATATATTTTGGAATAAATTTTCCTCATACTTACTTTGTCAAATTGGGAGATAAACTAATTTCGATTTTGTGTCAGAACAAAAATTGGCCCTGAAGATGGCGCAAAGCTGTAGTCGATTTGTTTCCCTACCAAATTTGAAGGGCGATGACGGGAATTCGTTCCGAATTGTCTCGTGAAAAATCGTTCAAACTAGCTTTGCTCCACACGCTTTTCGGGCTGTTTCGGTAACTAGAGCGTAAAAATAAGTTATCCTCTCACAAGTGTCAAAAATGTGTCAACACGTGCCAAAAGTTTCCAGAGCGTGAGGAACGTAAAAAAAAACACATTTTGTGCTAGGAATTAACAAATCAGCTCTAAACAATGACTTTATGCGTATTTATCTAATATGGCAAATGAAATTAGCAAATATCCACATTTTTTTCTAGCGTGAGGAACGCTTTCTAGGCTGTTTTGGGCACCCGCGTGCCCGTGTGAAACAAACCAACTGTCTCATCCGAATTCATGATTGGGTCCTTGCACCCAATCCCCCGCCACTGAAAACACAATATTATACCTGGAAAATTTCCTTCCCTTGACGGATACTTCCAGGCCTCCACGCTGCAAGGTGCAGTTATCTTCCGAAAGGGAGTGTTCCCAAGGGAAAATATCCGCGCATATTTCAGACGGAGTCAACACCGTGTGCAGAGCTAAGTTACGTAGGAACAACCGAAATTAGAGGATCCTAATCTTAAGTTATATCAAGGCGGCGCTCCGGGCTATCATATAAAATCAAATCATCCTCAGTCGTTGTGTGAATTGAGAAGCTTAACTTCCTTAGTAGGTACAGTGAAATCCAGATACCAGGCCACAAGGAAGGCTGTTGGTTCAAATACTATTAAGGAAAATCTCAGGAAGGAGAAGAACACATTGAATGGCTAAGCTCAACAGGGCTGCGACCGGCTAAGAATTCTAATCAGACTACGAAAATAGAAACTGAGCGTATTAGCAGCTATCCTTACAAAACACTGCACACAAGTAGGTCATCTACCTAAGCTTAGGTTCCGGTCCTTTTCATTTTTGCTACTCGACCAAAGCGACAAAATATCGCATATTGTTGTGGGTTATGACGGCGTTTGTAGAAGACGTTTGGCTCAATGTGGCCAAAGTTTAAGCACCTACTGTATCTACAATCGGAAGCTAATCTGAACTTTCTGAGATACTTGGTATTAGAGAAAAAGTGGTATGGAGTTTAAGGCATTGAAAGCAGATCCCTAGCTCGCAGTACATTTTTCGTAGTAATAGTAGTAATATCTAGCGTCCAGCAACATAAGGAAAATTCGCCCGTGAAAAGCTGCAATAACAACTGACTGCGCCGCCATGCTTACTCTCTGTGAGCACTTTCCATCAAGCCGACTTATGCAAGAAAGAAATCAGATAACATCAAGCTCGAAAGAACAACTACTTCGATAAGAAATGTCACGAAGCTGCAGAGAGAAAAAATTCGCCACCTACAGGTCCGCCCTGCCCACCGCCAACGAATTGATTGAGTCATAAATATCAGTGTGGGTTTAGACCTGACAAGTCCACCATAGACCAGGTATTCACAATACTCCAAAAGCTAGACAAGACTAACGAAAATAGAATGGACGCACAACATATACTTGTCGATTTCAAAGCCACTTTCGATAGCCAGAAAAGAAGTGGTCTTTATGCGGCGATGTCTGAATTTCGTGTCCCCGCGAGCTCTATCAGATTGGGTGGGACTTATCCTAGTCGTTTGAATAATATCTAAACGCTGCAGAACTGAACCGCACAATTCATTACAAGAGCGTAGAATTGCTTGCGTATGCCGGCGACACCGACGTTGTCGGTAAAAACAAGGGTGTCGTGTGTTCTGCCTTCATCGCATTTAGATATGGAAGAAGAGCGCGTAGGTCTGTTGGTTAACAGGGAAAAAACGAAGTATCTCTTGTGTCATCAATGTCGATGTCAATCGAAATCTAGCGCAGAATTATTCTTGCAATAACTCTCACTTTGAACTGCGTAGGCAATGTAGAAGTAAAGTTCTCCCTCGCCGTATAAAAATTACACTCCATAAGTCACTCATCATGCCTGTGCAGGTTTATAGCGCGGAGGCGTGGACATCTAATGAGGCGGCTCTTTGAGTTTTCGAGAGAAATATTCTACGGAATATTAACGGGCCTTTGCGAATGGCGAGCTTTCAACGATAAGACATAGTGCAACGAACTAAAATCCAGCGGCTTGGCTGGCTAGGTCATATCGTTCGAATGGAGAGAAACGCTCGAGCCCTGAAAGTATTCAACACGGAGGGCGATGCTGGTAACAGAGGAAGAGGAAGGTTACAGCACCAATCAAGAAGAAGAATTAGGCATTAAAATAAACAGTGGACCGTTAACTCATATTTTGGTAGTTATTAGTTTTTTTATTGTATTTTTGAAGTGTTTGTAAGAAAAATACTATATAAATTTCAGGAAGTAATCGGACTTTATTCTCCAACCAGTGTAACATCTCAGCATATTCAACAAATTCGAATTCATGCATTTCCTTTTATGCGTTCGCCTTTTTACCAGACAATAAGCAAAATATCCACTTAAAAACGTTCTTAAACTAGCAAATAAATAAAAATATTTTGCATTTTGTCAAAGCATTCTCAGGCATAATATCACAGTACGCGCCCATACAAACACACATACATACATACGATCATATAAATATTTAATACTAAAACAAGCAAAAAAAAAACTAAATTTCATTAACTCGAAAAAAACAAATGCAATTGTTTACTTAGAAAATACGGTAATTCACTTAATACTTAGTAAGCTCGAAAAAAGCGGAAAGCAAAGCTCCTAAATACGTATGCATATAAACATACATACATACATATGTATGTAAATATAAATTTAAATTTAATTTCAGAAGAAAAAAAAGTCAAAGTAAATAAAACAAAATAGAGCCAGTAAAGAATTTCGAAAATGAAAAACAATTTGCATACCTCTGATGTTACGCGTAAATATTGGCGTTGTGCCAAATTTAGTTGTTGGTACATCGTAAACAGTCACAAGGCAACTCGTCTCCACTTCTCCATTGCGATTGGCCGCCACGCATCTGTAAACACCCGCATCGCCAGCATTGGCTGTCCGTATTTCCAAGCAGGAGAGTCCATCGTTGAAGGTCTTTCGATATTTATCGTCATTCGCAATCAATGTCTTATCGCGATACCAATCAACCTTCAGTTCTGCGCCAGATATACTGCAGGTGAGTTTTATATTGCTGCCCAACGCTGAGTTCCGGTTTGTCAATTTCAACTCAACGTTTGGCGCACGTCGGGCATTTCGTGCTTCCCGTTTATCTTTGTACTCTACTTCGCTTGGCTTCTCTGCGCGTGACATTGATTTCTCCAATGGCACAGCGTCAACCACATCTAAAGCTTTCTCCTTCGCTGCTTCGGCAGGTTTTGTGATAATTTGTTGCGCTGACTTTGGCTCAACAACTTCTGTGACGTCCTTTTGTGTGATCGACATGTCTTCAGTCTTTTTCGTAGTAGCCTCTTTGGTAATATCTATGGGTTGTTTGTCTTCTGCAATGCTCTTCTTTCTCTTTTCTTTCTTGGTTTTATCTGCTTCCGTTTTAATTTCTTCAGTCACCTTTGGTGTAGGCTCTACTTGCTTTTCTATCACCTCCTTGTCTTTTTCTGCACTCTTCTTTCTCTTCTGTGGCTTTTCTTCCACCTTCTCAGTTTCTTTGGGAGGCTTATCCGCAGGTTTGTCTTCAGGTTTCTTATCAAGGTTTTCAGCAGCCTCAGGCTTATTTTCTACAGCTTCAGGTTTTTTCTTATCAGCTGCCTTTTCTTCTTCGACACTCTTCTTTTTCTTTTCCTTCTTCGGTTTCTCTTCTAGCTTCTCAACTTCTTCGACAGGCTTTTCAGCTGGTTTTTTAATAGGCTCTATTTTCTTTTCTTCCTCTTCATTTTTCTTTCCTTTGTCTTCTTTCCGATTCTCAACAGTCTTCTCGGCTTCTATAATAGGCTTCTCAGCAGATTTCTTATCGCGCGTTTCAATAGCTTCAGCTTTCTTTTCTACAATCTCTTGCGCTTCAGGCCGTTTTTCTTCCTCTTTCTTAACTTCTTCGGCACTCTTCTTTCTCTTTTCCTTTTTGTGCTTCTCTAGAGTCTTATCAGCTTCTTCAACAGGCTTTTCAGCAAGTTTTTCTTCAGATTTTTCAACGGTCTCAGGTTTCTTTTCAACAGCTTCAACAAATGCAGGCTTTTCTTCCTCGACTTTTTTCACTTCCTCAGCACTCTTCTCTTTCTTTTCCTCATTGGGTTTCTCCAGAGTCTTACTAGATTCATCAGAAAGTGGTTCTTCAGGTTTTTCAACGGTCTGAGGTTTCTTTTCAACAGCTTCGAGATTTGCAGGCTTCTCTTCCTCGACTTTTTTCACCTCATCAGCACTCTTCTTTCTCTTTTCCTTTTTGTGCTCCTCTACAGTCTTATCAGCTTCTTCAACAGGCTTTTCAGCAAGTTTTTCTTCAGGTTTTTCAACGGTCTGAGGTTTCTTTTCAACAGCTTCGAGATTTGCAGGCTTCTCTTCCTCGACTTTTTTCACCTCATCAGCACTCTTCTTTCTCTTTTCCTTTTTGTGCTCCTCTACAGTCTTATCAGCTTCTTCAACAGGCTTTTCAGCAAGTTTTTCTTCAGATTTTTCAACAGTCTCAGGTTTCTTCTCAACAGCTTCAACAATTGCAGGTTTTTCTTCCTCGACTTTTTTCACTTCCCCAGCACTCTTCTTTCTCTTTTCCTTTTTGTGCTTTTCTAGAGTCTTATCAGCTTCTTCACCAGGCTTCTCTGCAAGTTTATCTTCAGATTTTTCAACTGTCTCAGTTTTCTTTTCAACAGCTTCAACAATTGCAGGCTTCTCTTCCTCGACTTTTTTCACCTCATCAGCACTCTTCTTTCTCTTTTCCTTTTTGTGCTTTTCTAGAGTCTTATCAGCTTCTTCACCAGGCTTCTCTGCAAGTTTATCTTCAGATTTTTCAACTGTCTCAGTTTTCTTTTCAGAGGCTTCAACAATTGCAGGCTTTTCTTCCTCGACTTTTTTCACTTCCTCAGCACTCTTCTTTCTCTTTTCCTTTTTGTGCTTTTCTAGAGTCTTATCAGCTTCTTCACCAGGCTTTTTAGCAAGTTTTTCTTCAGATTTTTCAACGGTTTCAGGTTTCTTTTTGACAGCTTCAAGAGTTGCAGTCTTCTCTTCCTCGCCTTTTTTCACTTCCTCAGCACTCATCTTTCCCTTTTCCTTTATGGGCTTTTCTTGAGCCTTATCAGCTTCTTCCGCAGGCTTTTCATCAAGTTTTTCAAGTTTGTCTTCAGGTTTTTCAACGATCTCAGCTTTCTTTTCGAAAACCTCAAGCTTTTCAGATTTCTCCTGCTCGACCGTCTTGTCTTCTTCAGCCCCTTTCTCCACTTTGACGTCTTTCGGCTTATCAACAGCTTTCTCAGATTCTTCAGTAGCAGAAGGCTCCAACTTATTTTCCAGACTTTTAGATTCTTCAGGCTTTTTCTCATCTGCCTTCTTTTCTGCCTCAACACTTTTCTCTTTTATGTCTATTTTCGGCTTTTCTTCGGGCAGCTCGATATCTTTTTTAGGCTTTTCAACTTCCTCGAGTTTTTCTAAATCTTTCTTCTCAGCAACTTGCTTTGGACTAGTTGGTTTCTCTTGTATTTTCTTTATCTCTTCTTCGCTCTTCTTTCTCGCTATCTTCTTTGGTTTTTCATCAGCCTCATCAAGTTCTTCGGTAAGTTTCTCAGCGGGTTTCTCAGCAGATTTCTTAGGCAGGGTTTCTGTTACCTCCGGTTCACTCACCTCTCCCGGCTGTTTATTATCAGCTGCCTTAACTTCTTCCGTGCTCTTTTTTCTTTCATCTTTCTTAGGTTCCTCTACCTTTGCTGCAGCTTCCCTGATCTTGGCCTCTTCAGCTTCCTTCTTTGGCGTCGTTTCGACTGATTCCTCCTCCACTTTCTTCTTTTTCTCGTCCTCTTCAGCACTAATTTTTTGACTTTCCACTTTTACTTTCTCTTCAGTCAGTCGAGGTTTGTCAGTTGACTCCTGCATTGTCGGTACAATAGCATCTATTGCTTCCTTTTCAATCCGCGTAAGTTCTTCTTTCTTTTCAGTACGTACTTCTCTTGGACTCTTCTTTCTTTCGACTTTCTTCGGTTTTTCTTCTTCCTTATCAACTTTAGTGGCAGGTTCATCACCTACTTTCTCCAATTTATTTTCCTCTTCAACTTTCTTCTGGATAATGTCTATTGCAGTCTGTTGTTCAGCCTTTTCGGGTGCTTCAGTCGTCTTTTCAGTTAGGTCGGATTGCTTCTTAGCATCTACAGCCTCTTTAAGCGTCTCTTCCTTTCTAATTTCTTTTTCAGTAGTATTTTTCTTATCCTTGCTCTTAGGCTTCTCTTCAACCTTCTTTGCTTCTTCAATTACCTTCTCTTCCGCCTTTTTCTTATCTGACTTTTCGGCTGAATCGTCCGCTTTCTTTTCTTCTTTCACTTTCTCTTTTTTCCTATCCAACTTCTTTTCGGTATCCGCTGCTTCAGCAGACTCCTTGGCCTTCTTAAGTGTTTCTTCGTCCTTAGAAGTCTTCACATGTTGACATATCATTTCAGAAACCCTATGAATCTCTAGACATAGTTTTACTAACTCCTCCAAGATCTCTTGCGAATTAACTTCTCTAACACTCTTATCAATGAGATCGTAATGTTTCAGCGCTAAAGTCTTCACTTGCTCTAAATCTCCTTTCAATTCCTGGACATTTATAGCCTGAAGATCATCATAGAGAACGTAGATGTCCATGAGACTCTTCTGCAATGTTACCACCTTCTCTTTAGACTTCTCGATCTTGTTCACGCCTTTCAGATGTTCAGCGCTTGAAAGAACGCCTTGAAGCGTCGAGTGCAATGGCATCAACTTCACGCGGAATCCATTATCGTCCATTTCGGAAAGCTTGACGGACGTTTTAGACACAGATTCAACAATTTGGTTATAATATAGTGGCAAACTTTGATTCAACGGCTCTTCGGCGGGTTCAACCTTGGCTTTCTTCTCAACCGTTTCCACTTTTTCTGCAGTCGCTGCTTTGGCAGTGTTATCTTTGTCGGAATCCGGTTCGGCGCTTTCGACCGGTACGTTTTCGGATACTTTTCGAAGTTCTACGCATGTATCCAAGACTTTTTTCAGTAAAATGGACATTCTTTCCAATAACTCTTCAGAATTTATTTGTCTCTTACCCTTTTCAATGTAATCATATTCTGCAAGAGCACTCGTTTTTATCTCTTCGATTTTCGATTTCAAGATATGGAATTTTGCATCATGCAGATCATCAAATGTAATGAAGATATCCATCAGCACCCTTTGAAGACGCACAATATCCTTTGAAGCCTTTTCTACACAATCGTTATTCTTAATAGTCTGCGTAATTAAAACAAGCTTCTCAATTTGTGGTTGGAGAGCAGTTAATTTCTGGCTCAATAAAATATCTTTAGCCGCTTCGATTTCTTTTTGCAGAATATTCTGAGTCTCAGTAATGTTCTTGTAAAATTCTTCCAATTTAGGATTCTTTTCATCGTCTTTTACGTTTGCGTCTTCAATTTTTTCTACTTCAACAGGCTTTGTTTTCGCTGCATCTTGTTCAGTTGGCTTGGCCACTCCGATTTTTTGATCTCCTGTTTTTTCTTCCTTCTTCGATTTTTCTTCTTGTGCTTTTTTCTGCTCACTTTCTTTCTTGGTCTCATCGACTGACACTTCCTTAGCCTTCGGTTCGGGTAACTTTTCTTTTTTCTTCTTTTCTTCATCCTTCTCCTCGGCTGTCTTTTCTTGTACTATTTTCTCAACAGGTTTCTCTTTATGCCCTTCATCCTCTAATTTCTTTTGTTCAATCTCTGTTTCTTTATCTAACTCTGACTTTTGCGCTTCCAAACCTACTTGCCTCTTCTCTTCAACCGCAGCTTCATCCACTTTCTCTTTCAAATTCTCTTTCGCTTCATCCTTTTTCTCCGTACTCTTTTCTTGTACCTTTTTCTCAACAGGTTTTTCTCCTAGCTCCTCTTGTGGTTTTACCTCCACCGACTTGGGTTCGATGACCTTTTCTTCCTTTGGTTCGAATACTATTTCGTTTATTTTTTCTGCTTCTAGCTTTTTCGCGTCCAAAGTATCTTGGCCGACAGCTTGCATTTCTTCAGGTTTCTCTTCGGTTACTTTATCTTTTAGTTTCTTCTTTTCTTCGATCTGCTGTGCTTTCGACTCCGCCTCGGATTCTTTCTCAGCAGTGGTCTTTTCTACTGGCTTTTCCACTGGTACCTTTTCTGGAACTTTATCCTCCACCGATTTTTGTTTAGCAGCTTTTTCTTTCGGTTTCTCTTGTTCTATCTCCTCTATCTCAATCTCATTAGGTTGTTTCTGCTCGGTCAGTGTTTCTTGCAATTTTTCTTTAGGCTTTCCCTTCACTTTCTCCTCTTGTTCATTTGACTTTTCTTCTGACTTTTTCTCAACGGTTTCCTCTTCAAGCATTTTTTCATGCGGCTTATCCTCTGCTGACTTTTGATTTGCTGTCGTTTCTTTGGACATCTCTGATTCCCTTAACTCGATTGGTGTTTCATTGGTCTTTTCTGTTTCTGGTACTTTCGCGTCTATTTTCTTCACTTCTTCATCCGTCTGTTTTATGGGCTTTTCTTCTACTTTCTGTTCAACAGGTTTCTTCTCAGTTGACTTTTCAGAAAGTTTTTCCTCCACCGATTTTTGCTTGCCTGCCTTCTCTTTAAGCTTTGTATCTTCTAACACTTTATCTTTCTCAGTATCCTGTGACTTCTTCTGTTCAGTTGGTGTTGCAATTAGCTTATCTGATTCGGTTGTTTCCACGAGCTTCTCAACAGCTTCTTGTGTTGGAACTTTCGATTCCTCGTGCTTCTGCGCAACTACTTTTTCTTCAGGCACCTTTGCTAGAGTATCTTTCTCGGTTATTTGTTTTTCTTCAGGTGTCTTTTCAATAACTTTCTCCTCTGGCTCTTGTTTCTCTTCAACTTTCTGTTCTGTTGGCTTTTCTTCCTCTCCAAGTTTCTTTTCGATGGGCTTCGCTTCAATAACCTTTTCGTGTGACACTTCTTTCTGAAGTATGCTGCACACTTCCAGAACACTACCCGTTAGTTGGACTAAGTCTAACAATACTCCCTCTGACTCCACATACTTTTCGGACTTCTCAATGTTGTCGTACAGATGTAAAGCGAGTTCTTTAACTTTCTCCAGCTGCGTCTTCACTTCAGTTGTTGCTATTTCGTGAAGATCGTCAAATATAACAAAGGTATCCATTAATGCTTTCTGTAGGGTAACCATTCGCTGTGCGGATTTTTCAACTCGCTGTAGATTCTTTACATTTTCAGAGACCTGAACAATTTTTTCTAGCAAAGGTGGAAGAGCAACCAACTTTTCGTGAATTATCTGCGGTTTTATTTCTGGAATTTTCGCTGTTGCTTTTACAGCAGTCTGCGAGATACTTGCGAAGTATTGCTCTAATTTAGTACTTAATTCCTGTGACGGTTGAAGGTCTGTAATCTCCTTTTTGTCTGTGGTCGATTTTTCGACTTTTTGCTCGTGCGGGTTTTCTTTTGGAGTTAATTCTTCCTTAGCCTTGCGCAGTTCATCGCGTTCTTCAGCCTTTTGTTTTTCTGTGTCAATCTCACCCTCAAGTTTCTCTTTCTTCAGTTCTGGTTTCAGTTGTTCGGCAACTATTCCAACTTTCTCTGTAACAGCGGGTTTGACTTGCTCAGTCTCTTCAGCTCCTTTGTTTTCTTCGCTAAGCTGTAATCCGGACTTTTCAACATCTGCAATCAGCGCCACTGAAGCAACATGGTCTTCTATTTCTGGTTTGCGATTTTCATCGTTTGCCTCCTGTGGCTCTAGAATGTCTTCCAGAAGCTGTTCTTGAACCTTTTTAGCTTCCTCTTTCACTTCGGTCTTGGTTTCTTCTGTAACTGCTTTTATTCTCTTTTCACCCAGCGGAATTGGTTCTTCACTGCTGTCTTTTATTGCCGTCGTTTCGGGTTTGTCTTCTCTGGAGGTGGCAACTTCAACTGTTGGCGAGGCCTTTGCTTCCTGAGCGACATGTTCTTCGGGTATTTCCAGTGGATTCTTTGGTTTTTCTATTTGCTTCTCTGCTTTCTCGACTTCCGGTTTTACTTCTTTGCTCTCTTGAATTTCAGTAACAGGCTGCGTTTCAGGAGTGACTTGTTCTTCAGGTTGTTCCTTTGTTTCCTCTTTTGTAGCTATCTGTGCCTCGGGTTTGGTTATCAGCGTATCAATGGCTTTGGATTGTGGTGAAACTTGCTCCACAGTCTTTTCTTTTTCAACTGCCTCTTCTAACTTTTTCGCTTCGACTTGTGGTTCCACCTTTTCTGTCTTCGTTTCTAAAATAGCTTGTTCTTCAGCTTCAACTTGGGATAATATTTTGTTTTCTTCCTGCTGTTCGTTTTGCGCCTTCTGCTCTTCACTTTCACTCTCCGCTTTTTCTTCCGACAACTTGGCAACAACTTGTTCTTGATTTGTTTTCTCTTTTTCAACTACTCTCGTCGCCTCTTCAAGTGCTTGTTTATCTGTGAATGCAGCGACTTCTCGTTGCGCTTCTTTTTCTTCTCTCTTTTGTTCCTCGGCAACAGATGCCGGTTCTTGTGAAGGTATCTCTTCACTTTTCAGAGTTTCTGGCGTCAATTGTTCTTCTATCGTTACCTCTGCTGGCTTATCTGCCTGTTTTGGCGACTCGGTAGTAGCCTCCTTCGCAACGATATTTTCAACTATTTGCTCTTCAATTTGCGGCCGGGGTATTTGTTCTTCTATTTGAGGCTGCAGTTCTTCTTGTTTTTGCTCTGAAGTTGCCGGTTCTTCCGTCTTCGGCTTTTCTTCTTTTACATCTGCTTTTGTTTCATCAGTGCTTAGCACTTGTGCTTCAGCTTTCTGCTCTTTTATTTTTTCCTCTGGCAGCTCTTCTGTCTTCTTTTGTTCTCCGATTTGTGGTTTCGTTTCCACTAAGACTTCCTCTTCTATATTTTGTGACTCTGGCGCTGCTTTTTCTTTATCTTTTGCCTCATTATCTCCCGTAGTCGGCGTCTCTTGTTGAGCTTTGCCAGCCTGCTCTTCAACTATCTCATCTGCCACTTTTTCAGCTGGTTGATCTTCTTTTTTACCCTCGTCTTCAACTTGAGACCGTGTTTCCGCTAACACCTGCTCATTTACCTCTTTAACTGCAGCAGATTGTTCAGTTTTCGTCTCCTGAACCTGCTCTTCAAATATTGTCTGTGTATCTGTCGTCTCAGTCGTCTCAAGTGGTTCTTCCTCAATCTTTTGCAATTCCTTGCAAACCTCCAAGACTCCTTTCGTTAAATCACAAATACTGAGGAGTATTTTCTCTGAGTCTGCGCTTGTCGCGCTCTTTTCTACACTTTCGAATCCACTCAATGCCAGCTTTTTAACATCTTCGATGTGCTTTGTTAGCTCTCCCGTCGACTGTTGTTGTAGGTCGTCCAAGGTTACAAAGAGGTTCATTAGTACTTTTTGTAAAGTAGCTATTTTCTCTGAAGACTTGTCTATATTGTTTGATAGTTTTACAGTTTCCGAAATCGTTCCTATGGTTGCTAGCGGTGCATCGAATTGTAATAATTTTGCCCGCAAGATTGAATTTTTTGTAGCCCCGACTTCGTTTCGTATTTTAGCAGTTACCTCGACTATGTCCGTAAAATGTTTCAATAAATTCGGGTTAAGAGGCTCTTCAGTAGCTGCAGGCGCTTTGTCAGCTTCAGCAACTAATTTTTCCTCACTTTTACTTTCATCAACTGTTTTGGTTTTCGGCTCTTCTATGGCTATTGCTCGTTGAACGTCTTCAACTTCCATACTGACTTCTTTTTCATCGAATGTTGGCACCTCGGCGATTTCTGTAGCAGCGGTAGTTACCTGGGGCTCAACTGTCACATCTCTGCCTGTAACCGCGTCTTGCTGGAGCTGCTCTTTTTCTTCAACGACTTCAACTTTGGGTTTCACTTCCACGTTTAGCTGGGCATCTTTAGTTTCCAAAACTACAACTTCGCTTTCCTTTGCCTCTGCAGTCACCAACTCTGCTCTTTGCAATTTAGCGCACAAGTCGTTGAAGCCACTGGTTAGGAAATATGTATCCAAGAGAATCTTCGGTGCTTGTGCTGCTTTTTCACTATTATTTACATAATCGTATTCTCTCAGCGCGAGCTTTTTAAGTTTTTCAATATTGGCTTGCAAATCTGCAGCCAATGACTTAGCCAAGTCATCCAAAAACTCGACAGTATTCAAGAGCTCTTTTTTCAGATTCTCCTGCGTGTCTGCTAACTTTTTCACTGTTTTTAGTTCTTTTACGGCTTTAGCAACCGCAGACAATGCTTTCAGCCGAGGATTTAAGGCGCTAACCTTCTTACGCAGCTCGGCGTTTTCTATGGCCTTAATTCGCTCTGGTATTTGTTTTACATTGTTTTTAATGTACTCATAGTATTCCTCCGTCAATTTCCGAGCAGCTTCTGGATTGCTAGCGAGTAAGTTCTCAATAATATCTTCCAATTTTTCAGCGTTTTCGTCTGCTGCGCGTGGACCACCGTCGTAAGTGTGCACAATGTGTTCTCTTAACTTGAACACAAGTTTTGCGAACCTCTCATCATCATTGAGCGACTCACTAAGCTCACTGCCGATGTCTTTTAAGCGCTCATCGCCAGCAATTACGTTCAAGACATTTTCGATGTGCTGCTTCAGCGCTTCGTCGGCGGCAGCTTGCTCGGGCTTTTCAGCTTTGCTGTCCTCTTGGCGTGCAGCAGCGGCTTGTTGTTGGGACATAATCTTCAATGCTTCCAACATTTGCACAAAGAAATCCTTCTGCACCTCAAACTCCTGTATAAGCTCTATAACATCTCTCAACTGACCTTCATCCATAGCTTTGCAAATACGTTCTAAGCTTTCTTTTTGTAGTAGAAGGATTTCGATTTTCTGTTCAGCACACAGCGTATCCAATGAGTTCTTCAATTCGTACAAAGCTGATTGTAGATTTTGATAAGCACGTGACCCTCTATCCATATTTGATGTATTTTCCTTCTTAAGCGCGTTCATCTCCGTGGAAATTCGTTGCAGCGCTCGCGATATCGCACACAGATTTCTATCGTTCGGAAATACTTGTGTTATGAATGACGTTATGCTGCCTATATATGGTAGCGTGGCTTCGGTAATATCGAAAATCATTGCGTTTCGTAGACCCCGATGACCATTCAAGATTTGTAGCAGCACGCCGTTGGTATGCTGTATAACCTGTTGAGCCTCCTCGGCCTTCGAAACATCATCCATTGGCGTTCTCTTGATGAAAGCAATCAAATCCTTCAACTTGAATAGCGGCAAGAAAATATGATCTTCGATTGTGTTGGAAGGTTGTGTTTGTAGCAAATTTTTAATCTCTTTCAAAGTGAGTTCAACCGATTTGTAGACTTCCGTTGTGGCTTTGCTCAATTTTTGGTTACTCAGCGCCTGTGTGAGTGCGAGTGTGTTATTTATCAATTCTTCTGCTTTTTGGAGATATGGCTCGGTTGGCAGTGTGGGTGCTTGAGGCTCTTTCGGTTCCACCACGGCTTCTGGAGCCTCTTGCGTATCCTTGTCTTTCGCAGAGATGGCTGCTTGTGGCTTTGTTTCGTCAGCCGTCACCTCAAGCTTTTCTTCTGGCGTTGCCTGTTCATGAGTCGCAGCCTGCGGCGCTATTGCTTCAGCTTCGATTGGCCCAGCTTCCTTCTTAACTATCGGCTGGACTACCTCAATTTCTGTCACTTTTCCTGGCTCAGCCTGCTCTAAGCTCTCCTTCTTATCCGCAGGCTGTTCTCTTATTTCTGTTACAGCTTCGCTCTCCTTTGCACCATCATCAACTTCTGAAACAGCAGCGCTCTTCTGATTGATCTTCGCTTCTACAACTTCCGGCTCTGCCACCTTAGGCTTTTCCTTTGCTGCAGCATTGTTTAGCGCCAACAACTTGTCTTGCAAATTTTTCAAATGCACACGCAGCGCATCGACTACGGCTTCCTCTTCCTCTGTTGTGGAGCTTTCGGTTCGTGCCTTTTCTAGTATCTCATTTTCCAGGCGTATCAATGCGGCTTGTACGCTTTCAATGTCTACCTCATTTTCTGCGGCTAACTTCACGAAGACAGAATTATTTATCTTCAACCCCTCATCGATGCTGAGTAAGAAGGCCTTCGCTGAGGCTACGCCCGAATTTATTGCTTCCAAATACGTCCGCTTGCTTTCGTTTGCCTTAGCAAGTCGTACTTCATTGGCCACGAAGCTTAGTTGTGTCATGAGCGTATCCAACTCTTGTATCAGTTCAATAGCGCGCAACGTGTTTTCGCTGGTGTCAATGAACTCGGAAATGGATAGGACGGCATTTTGTAGTTGTGAAATATTTTTTCGTTCGTTCGCCGCTGCTGACTCACCAATCTCATCAAGCGCTCTAAAGACGGCCATTAAATGCGACTGTAGATTCGCCACAGCCAATGAGGACTTCTGAACCTCGACCAACTTGAGCTCACCGATGGCTTTAGTGCTAGCTAAGACCAGCTCGAGCGGCTGTGTTAACTTACGGAAGTCTGCCAAATCGTCTGACTGTGTGCAACTAGTGACAAACTCTGATGCAGCCGATTCTAATTTGCCACACATCTCCTGCGCTAATTGCAGCTCTAGCGTTGGCATGGCCTGTAGGATGTCGGCAAAGGTTCTTTCAATATCGTCTAATGATTCTTCCACGCCCGCTTCGTAAGTGTGAACGATGCATTCTTTCAATTTAAACATTACTTTGGCCACCCTTGTTTGCGACTCGGCAGCTTGTTGTTCTGCGGCGGGTTTCGTAAGCTCATCTTGCATACTTTGTAGCTCGTGCTGCAACTCCTGCATAGCAACCTCAACTTCACACAGTTCTGGGACATTGTTTGCTGTGCTCTTTTCCAAGCACGTTTGTAGCTGATTAATGCCATTTGTAATACTTTCTCGCACATCCTGCAGCTTAACGCTTTCAACCACACCTGTGGCTGGTGGCTCAAGTTGCGTGTGTACGGATTTCAGCTCCACGCAGGACTTCAGCGCCGAAACATCGGCTTGTGTTGACATTTCGACAATGTTTTCCAAAGCATTCATGTCGACTTGCTCGCAGTATTGCAGCAGGTGGTATATGACATCGGTCTGCTCCTTCACAACCTTCAGTGCGGGACAATCTTCTAGCGTGGAGAGTGGTGTTTCTTCTTGTACTTGCAGCAAAGCTTCTCTGATATCCCAGATAGGTTTAGCGCACTTTTCCAATATAGCGGTGCTCTCCTGCCTAGAAATATTTTCAGCTTGTGACAAGTGCACCTGCTCAACATTGGATAGTATGGCGCTTTCCAGTTCTTGTATGGGTTGTATGAATTGCTTGAGCTGCGCGAGTGATGCGTTCTCCGCCAGCGACTGCAGCGTCTCCAATGCGTGATTCTCCTTGATCGACAACACAAACGGTTGAATGTCCTGCAAAACTTGAGCACTGGTTAGTTGCATGCTTATTGTTGGCAAACTAAGCACATGCTCCAATTCTTCATTGTGGAAAACTCTTACGCATTCCTTAACTTCATGCAGTGGTTGTGCCAAAGTTTTTAGTTCGGAAATCGCTTGCACACTCAGATCACTTTGGGCCAAACATTCTTCAACTTGCACTACGAATGCATCCAAATTACACACAGCATCAGCAAATGTTTTGCATTCACTAGCATCGGAGAGGGATAGGAGTGGTGGCTCAATGACAGTGGGTTGACGGACATCGGCAAAACATTCATTTACGTGCTGTAATTTTGTTAAACTTGCCTTAATCTGTTGTGCAGTCTCCAGCTGCAGGGAGGCGACATCTACTTCGTGACCATGTGCCAACACTGAGACGATGCTACTTTTGAGTTGTGATAACAACACATCGACCTTACCTTTGTCAGCTGGCGGTGTGGGCGGCGCTTCTTCGGCGCGGGAAATTGGCGGTGGGGAGCCCAAGTAAGACTCGATAGCTGAAATTTCCTCCAGCGTAGATATGTCTTCCTCAGCGGGTAGTGAAGTTTCGCGTAACTGTGATGACTCCTTCTTCGCTGAAGTCTGCTGCGGTGTGGTTGAGGTTACGGATTTTTGCGCAACGAGCCCCGGCTCCGGCTCTTGCTGCTCAATCGACCTTGTTTCTACATCCACGCGTACTTTTTCCACCACAATCGCTGCAGTATTGAGTTTGGCGAGACTGTCCTGCAAAGATTTCAAATGCACTCCCAGCACATCGACTAGCGCGCTGTCATCAGCCGCTGGCACCTGCGTTTCCAGTTTTGGTATGATTTCCTTTTCGATGCGTATGAGTGCTGCTTCTACGCTACTTATGTCCAGCTCGTTTTGCTCTGCTAGCCTATAGAACACCGGATTGTTTGCGTTTAAGCCATCTTCAATGCTTTGTAAAAATGCTTTCCCTTGCGTAACACGCTGCATAAGCGTTTCGAGTAGTGCTTGCTTCCGTTCCTGCTCGCTTGCGGACGTAAAACTTCCGGGAATAGCAGCCAAACTGGGCGTCAAGCTATCTACCTCCTGTAGCAGCTCAATAGTTCTAATTTGCTCACTGGCTTCCGCAATGAACTCGTTTGTTGCTAGCACAGCATCTTGCGCTTTCAAAACTGCTTCACGCCCAGCTCCACTAAGCGATTCACTAACTTCGTTGAGCGCTCTAAATGCGGCCATTAAATGCGATTGTAATTGCGCCACCACCAATGAAGACTTTTCAACATCTATGCTCTTCAACTCATTAATTGCTTTGGTGCTGCTCAAAATGTCTCCAATGGGTTCTATCAGTTTTTCCAGCTCAGGCGTCTCTGGTTGTGCACAAGTGGTATTAAATGCGTGTAGTGATGCCTCGATTTTTGCGTACATCTCTTGTGCCAGCTGTATTTCTAAAGTCGGCAGCGCTGTTAGTATGTCTTCGAATGTTTTCTCGATTTCATCCAGCGACTTTTCAACGCCAGCTTCGTAGGTATGCACCAGACACTCTTTCAATTTGAACATCGTTTTAGCTACGCTACGATTGGCTTTGGCCGCATTTTGTTGCGCAGCTGGTTTAGACAACTCACTTTGCATGTACTCTAATTCCCGTTTAAGCTCTTTCATGACCTCTCCAACATCGTTCAACTCGGGCACCACCGTTTTTTCGGCTGATGTCAAGCAGACTTGTATTTGTTTGATACCATCCGCAATGCATTCCTTGACGTCCAAGTACTTCACTGTTGCTTGTTTCGCGCTAACGGCAGGTTCTAGTTGCGTCTCCAAAGACTTGAGCTCGGCGCAAGATTTGAGTGCAGAGACATCAGCTTGTGTAGACATATCGGCAAGATTCTCCAATATATGCAGGTCCACTTTTTCACAGTATTGCAGGAGATTGTATACAACTTCACTTTTTTCCTTCAAAACTTGCAATGCCGGAGTAGCTTCTAGGGTGGACAGTGGTGTTTCTTCTTGCACTTGCAGTAGCGCTTCCCTGATGTCCTGTATAGGCTTGGCACACTTTTCCAACACCGCAATGCTCGCCTGCTGGGGCAAACTTTCAATTTGCGACAAATGCACCTGCTCAGCGGCAGACAGCACGGCAGTTTGCAGCTCTTGTATGGGTTTTATAAATTGTTTGAGCTGCGCTAGAGACTCATCCGCCGCTAAGGACTGCAAAGTTTCGATTGCTTGACTCTCCTTAATTGAGAGCACAAAGGGCTGTATGTCTTGTAAAACTTGTGCGCTAGTTAGCGGTAAGCTTGCTGTTGCCAAACTCATAACCTGCTCCAATTCTTCATTGTGAAAGACTGTAATGCACTCCTTAAGGTCTTGTAAGGGTAGAGCTAATGTTTTCAATTCGGAAATGGAGCCGCCACCACTCAGCTCCTTCAAATCGGCTTGTGCCATGCACTCCTCAACTTGCACCACACAAGCTTCCAAATGGCACACAGCTTCAGCGAACGTTCTACACTCGCTGGCGTCGGAGAGTGAACCCAGTGTCTCCACAACGATTGGTTGATGCACATCAGCAATGCACTCAGTGACGCCTGCCAGCTTCGAGAGACTTGCCTTCACTTGTTGAGCAGTTTCCACTTGCAGCGAGCCTACATCTACTTCGTCGCAATGCGCCAATACTGTTGCGATGCTATTCTTCAGTTGCGACAGCAGCGCGTTCACTTTGTTCTTGTTAGCTTCGAAAGCTTTGAGATGATCCGTTTTATCTTCTGCTCCAGAGGCCAAGCTATCTGCTGGTAATGACTCAGCTGCTGATTTCATGGCGGATATGTCCTCCAGTGTGGAAGCGTCATCCGCGGCTTTCGCCGCTGGCCTGCTAGCGTCAGTAGAGCTCGCTTCTTGTTGGGGTTCTGCAGTATGTTGAGCTTCCGCAGCTAGTGGGGTCTCGACATTTTCTTCAACCTTAACCGTAGTAGGCGCGTCGGGTGTTCGTGCTGTTTCTACCTCATCGCTGACTTCAGCTGCCATTTTCGGCCTCTTTGCAGCTCCACTATCAACATCTGCCGCTGCCTTCTTTTTCTCAGCGTGCGTTACCGCTGTTGACGCTTGTGGTAAATCTGTGATTGTTTGAAGCGCGGGCACTATTTTTAGCACCGATTGTACGATGGGCAACGCCTTCAATTTTACGTTCTGCTCATTTTGCTCGGGTATATTTTCAACGACCTCATTCAACTCTTGCAAAACTGCTTGCAGACACACGCGTTGTGGGAGCTGCTCTACCTTCAGTTCCTTTGCTGGCGTTAGCGCCCTGCGTAAAACCTCAGCAGCTGCCTGCAGTGGTTTGGCAATGTCGGTTAGCACTTTTGTAGCAGCTTCGTTTTCTTCCCTCGTGCTCGGTGACTCCTTCAGTTTTTCTACATCGGCGACAAGGCCGGTAAGACTTTGGTCTAGCACTGATAACACTTTTTGGGTTTGAGCATCCAAGTCAGGTGTGGCCTCTATCTCTGTAACTGTGTGCAGTAGTTCTTGTATATTTTGTCCAGCCTCATCTTGAGCTATCTTCATTTCCATTGCTTGCCGCATGTAAAGGAAAGATTTCTCCTCTTCGTTTGCACGCTTCTCATCAAGTTCGACTTCGCGTTGCAGCACCTTGAATTCATGTTCTTCAATATCGATCTCAACGCGCCTAATTAGTTGTTCCATTCTATCGAGGACCTCAAGATTTTTTTCGTTTTGCTTCGCACCAGACATGTGCATGATCTCCTGACCCAAATGCACGCGATCGCTGAGACTGTGCAAGGGATCGATAAAGTCAGTTAAAGAGCCCGATATAGATTTGCCTTCAATTTGTCGTATGCAATAGTTGAGCTCATCGATAGGCCGTTTCAAGTTCTCCAAAAGCGTCACATGATACTTGGTGATGTTCTCATTCAACACATTTCCAATTAAGGCAGACATTTCCTCCTTGATATTGAACAAGCCCGATTGCACATTGGGTGATAAACGCGCTGATATGCGCTCGATATTCGTCTCGAAGTGAAGCACAGACTGCGCTATAGATTGCAGCAACTTTTGCGTATCCGCCGAGTCGAGCACGGCCTCTTCCGTAAAGTGTCCACTTTCCACGTCCTGTGTGAGCTGCGCCAACCCGTTTTGTATCTCTTGCAATGGCGGTACCATCGACTCCACAGTGCTAACAGTCAACATGCCTGCTTGAACATTGTCCGACGACTCATTTAATATTATTTCCATACCCTTGTTGAGTTCAAATAGAGCCGGTGTGACAATGTCCAGAATGGCCATATTAACTTTTTGCTCTGTCGATTCGGTGCCAGCGAGTGCCTCCGCCTTTCGTTCGATTATCTCCAACACCGATTGCAGTTCCTTAATTGGTTCGACAATATTTTCCAACACTTTCTTGTGCACCTTCTTGTAGATCTGTTCTTCGTTTTCTTCGAGACTCAATTCATTCTCCACCTTCTCTAAGGCGGCTTGTATATTCACAACCGGCTGACAAATGAGCTTCAGTGCATCAGCTTCGTCAGGCAATTTAGCATCCGAGATATTAGCAAAGGACGCCGGTTCTCCCTCTGGTCTAGCCTGTAGCTTGGCAACCGTTTCCGAGAGATGCTTGGCCGCCTCCAACTCCTGCGCTTCTTGCAGCAGCGCCTGTGACTTTATAGTGCCCTGTGTGATTTCGAGACCTTGCCTAATATCGTCCGCGGTAAGATCTATATGTGCACGCAAGCTCGTAGACTCGAAAGTCTTTGCAATGCTCTGCACCTCTTGCAATGCCTTTATCAGCTGATCGCCCACGCTGTCTATAATGCAGACGCTGGTGCGTTGTATGAGCGTCACGCCAGTTTCATCTATTTCGACACACTTCTCAATGACCTGTAGGCTGGTGTGCAGCTTTCGTATATCCTCCTCCATCGTTTGGAAGAGCGCGTCGAGTGGTGTCTCCCCGGAATAGGCGCGCAACTTGCACTCCACCTGCTTCACCGGGTCGATGATATTGCGTATGATGGCGATGCTCTGTTCTGCAGACCCTGACGTCATCATCATGGCTGCCTGCTCGACCACTTCATTTTCCACGATAGTCAGGTGGTGCTCAATAGTCTTCAGCGATTTCGCTAGTGGCAGCAGTGTCCTCAAATTCTGCTCAATCTCCGTTGCGCTGGAGATCACTTTTACTGGCTTCACAGACATCAAACCATCGCCTACTGCACCAGATATATCTTGCATTTTCGTATCGTCTTCGGTTGTCTTTGATGAATCACTATCAGTTGTCTTGCCCTTGGCCTTCTTGCGCTTCGGTGGTTGCATACCATCTGCGGGCTGTGCAGCATCAGGGCCGGCAGCAGAATCGATGCGCGATGACATTTGCGTAGCGCTAGCGAACGTTTGTAAATCGGAAGTGTCCTCCTCATCGCCCGCTTGGCTATCGGATGCTTTCGATAAACTGTAAAATTCCTCAGTCGTTTCGGTCGGTCGTGATTTCTTACGCTTGCGTATCGGTGCCGTCAATGATAAGTCTTCCTCCATTTTCTCAAAGCTGCGTTGCGCATAGTTCTCAGCTTCGCGATCGGTGTCACCCTCATGACCCGAGGAGCCATGCACTGTTATCTCGTTGATGGAAATATCATCCAAACCTGCCTCGGTACGCATGTCCTCCTCATGTGAAAAGTATTCTGGCGAGATGTCAATTACCACAGCTTCCATTAGCAGTTTACCCGACTGTGAGGTCTCTTTAACAAAACGCAGTGGCGGCAATTCCACCACATTGTGTTCGGTCACATGCTCTGAAATCTGATCGGCGTACATTTCGACGATCTTCAATGCTTCTTCTTCGGTCAAATCGGGTGTCTCATACAAGGATACCGAAACCTCTTTGCCATCGAAAGAGAAAGATACCTCTCCCTTTGAGTCAATCGTTATATCGCCAACAGGTGTCTCGTACAACTGGGATGTACGCTCCTCCTGTATGGTGGACAAGGAGAAATTGCGCTGCAATTCGTTTTCTTGTGCCTGCTCGTGCTTTTGATTTTTGTACGCCTCCTCGAAACCGAGCAGCGAAGCTGAGCTAGCAACAACGCCCATACAATTTCTAGCCTCACATGTGTAGGTGCCCAGGCAGCAAGTACCATCCTGTCCTGAGATGATCCTATGTATGTCACCGGGCTTTAACTCAACACCATCCTTGTACCACTTCAGCACGGGCTGTGGCACACCAATAACTTTGCACTCCAAGTTTACCGCGCCCTCTTCCGTCAACACCGCTCTCAGGCATTCCAGGAAACGTGGTTTCTTGTAGTGCCGTGGTATCTGCAACTTTAGATAACTGGAAGTAACGCTTGTGCCAAAGTCATTCACAGCCACACACTTCCACTCGGCCTGATCTACGAATTCCACAGCGCGTATATCCAAATGCCAATTGTCTTGCTCGCCACGATAGTGAGAGTAACGTTCACTGTTCTCGATCGGGAACTCATCGCGAAACCAGGAGAGCATTGGATCTGGTGTGGCATTGACATTTACAGTAAATTGGAAAAATTCGTTGATCTTGGCCTCTTGACTTTTAAGGCCCACCACAAATTTAGGTGGCTGATTCTGATTAGCAAATGTGAGACGCTCTTCGTCGTTAAGCTGATTTTTTATATCCTCTACAGTGAGCACAGCAACGCTGCTACTCTCACCCATGCAGTTCTTGGCTATGCAACAGTATGTGCCAAGCGAGTTGGTGCCAGTTAATTGATAAACATCGCCGGGTTTTAGTTCCTGACCATCCTTGAACCACTTAAGTACGGGCGTAGGAAAACCAACCACTTTGCATTCGAATGAGACGAGTCCTTCCTCGGTGAGCACAGCGCGTAGACTTTCCATGAAACGTGGCTTGCGATAATTTTTGGGAACTATAGGAAAAGAAATTAGAAGATTAAATAGTTAACGCTGCAAAATTTGTTTAAGCAAATATCTACTCACTGTCCATAGTGACGTTACACGTTGAAATACCGACGCAACCTTCATAGCTAGTAACTACGCATTTCCATTCGCCTTCGTCACAACTCTCGGAGGGTTTGACTTCGATCATATAAACGCCCAAGCCATCCTCGATTAATTTATAGCGTTCACTTGACTCAATGCGTCCATTTTTATTATACCAGACAACAGTTTTGGGCCAAGGTGGTACCACAACTAGAAGAATTAGCCATTAGTTTTATATATATTTACGCAAATATTGTACTTATACCCCACACATATATACCCACAAACATATATATGTACGTACTAGAGAGGATTTGGTTGCAGTGGTCATGGCTTCTCTTTTACGGGGTCTAAAATAAGTTCTTTGTGATGACTTTTTAAGTGAAACACAGAAACGGGGCAGCTAATTAAATGGCAAGTTTTGGCTCAGAGATGTCAATAAACGAAGTAGACTACTCTCCTACTCTATACAGTCTTATGACTAAATGGAGGAATAACTTACGAGATGATAAAATAACCCCAGGGCTTTTAATCTAGGTTAAAAATTACAGAAGAAAGAAGGCGGAAGATCCTCTGAAAGTCAACAGGGCTGCGTAAAATTGTCAACAAGGCTACATTAAAAGGCACTACTAGACAGGGATGCCAACTCAACACTGGCATAATTCAGGCAAAAAAAAATAAATAAAATTTTATAATTCAGTTCCTTGAATTTATTAACCGCGTTTCGTTTGTGCTTTCGCTTTAACTGCCGAAATGATGTACGAACAGTACAGCAAAGCACATTTTTCTCGCTCTTTGCATTTCAGTCAGGGTTTCAGCTGTGCGTTTGTGCGAAACTAAAAGTGCGTAACGTTACGTATGTTTGTTGTAAAAAAAAACTGTCGAATATTTCACATTTTCCCGCTTTCGCTCAAACGCACACAGTGTTTTGTGTTAAAGAGTGAACTCTGGTACTGTCTTTTTATTAGACTGGTGCCTAATTGTATATTTACGATTTTTCTATGCCCTATGTCGGTGTCTAGTGCAGGCCCAGGTCGACTCCAAATCGTGGATTCATGCTCCTCACTAGTCTGTTGGTAATATAAACGGTGGAGATCTGGGATATTCCAAATTTCATTTGGGATAGCAAGTGGCTCAGCCGTTTATTGTCTTAATTATTCTTCTTTTCTCAATGGTTGCAAGCCTGGCACTGACTAACTTACTGTGGTGTACTTATTATAAGCATTTATGTTGGCGAGTAAATGGGGAGTGAACACACTATTAGTTTTAATTCACAGTATTTCTGTCCCACAAAATAATCGAAATCTCTATTTTCAGTAACCTTTTCGGAGCGACTATGTTCTATCGACCTAGTCTGTATTCTCTGCCTTACGAAGCTAGCTTGGTAAATTCTTCAAATACCGGACGTAAGAGGCGGAGTTGTGCGGATCGGCCATGCCAGGTAGGTTAAGCAGGAGCACCCCAATGAGGTGTTTTGCTCTTGATGCGAAAAGTAATTTCATTTTGCTGTTGCCAACATCATTTAGTTCATAAAGCTACTACATAACGCTACTTTGATATCTTAGTCAGGCTAACACCGCAGCAGTAAAAAAAAAAAATACTCATACCAGAAAGTAAAAAGATTAAGAAAGACTCTTATGTTGTTCTATCACTCTCACAGCAGATAGAAATGATGATCCGAATTGCAGTGAAGAATTTGGTGCTTAGACTAGGAGTCACACAATGTCGCGGGAGGTCCCTCAAAGTAGAATATAATTGCTTTAGGCAGATGTCTAAACTTTAGTATTTTTCCATACCCCAAAATAGTCCTTTGCTTATGGTTTCATTACAGGATATGGAGACTACATCGAAAGTAACGGGAACCAAACTTCAGTGCTCCCTTTGAAGAGTTTGTAAAAAGACTTGAGTTCTGAGTCCAGTTTGGGTACTTGTCGAAGGAACGTAACGCTTCAACTAGGCTACAAATGAAAAACTGATCCTTGGATACCTTTTTTTTTAAAGAAATTATGTCATTAGCGCGCCTATTAGAAAACAGTGAAGATAATAAGAAGCTCCTCTCAGGAGCTCGGTAAATACTTTCTATACTGCTGGCTCCAAGAGAGAAAATGAAATTGTAACTGAAAGGCATCGGGAGAGGAAAATATTTTTTATGATTTGGGCTGGCGATGGGCACTACCTTGCCTGCGGGCAAAGCTCTTTTAAGCTTTCTATATATTTTGTATAGGCGCGTTCAGAGTAAAAGCTCTCTTTGCCTATCGCTGATTTAGGCACAATACAATGATGATGAGCGCAATGATATTCGAAATCTTACCAGCTAAACTCGTAGGTAATCTTTGATCTTTCTTTGGCTTTCTGAGGCTTAGTGTCTGTCGTTGTTCACAATGAAAAATCTATTTAATATAGTGTTAATTTGCATTTGCGCTAGGTTCTTGCTATGTGATCTCCCTACTGAGAACCTTATTGTAATTTTTTTATTTTTCCAATCAAATAACCAAAACTCCTAGAGATGACCAGGCAACTTCGAAGTAACTGCTAAAAAACTTAATAGAGGAGAATCCCACTTATTGACTACAACATTGAAAACCATTAACAAAGAACGTTTAGTCCGCATAGCCAAGAATTTGTGTAACAGTCATTTATCTCAGAACGCGGAATTCCCAATGGGAGCAGCACCTAATCAGCCTCACGATGTCAATATGTTTGCATGCGCGCGCCTATTTATCTCAATTCGATTACGATACACCATACCCATTTAACATCAGTTTGTTTTGATTACCTCATTCGGTTTCGCAACATCTACATAAATATGTTAACCACTTGCAATCACCAACGAAAAACTTACAAGAGCGCAATTCTCAATCCGATCGACACGAAAACATAGCCGACCTACCACAACACATCAGAAATTCCAACGATTTCGTCGAGTTCAAGTTTGAAAATTTCAATGTTTCCGTGAAAAAAGCCAATCAAGCGCAGCAAAAAAATATATATGCGGACCTATATATTTAAATGTATACATGTACATAGATCTTGCGATCTACTTCGGTGGAAACGCCAATTGGGTAAAATGTCATTGTGACAACAGACATCTGTTGTTGGGAACGGTAGCAGCCACCGAAGCTATGCTCGCGCTTGACCGCTTCTATCTCAGAGTCAAATAGTGACGCAAATTCGACGATTTTATTTTATATTTTTTTTTGCCTTTCTGCTCACCTCATTATTGTGCTCGCCACATGTCTGATTGTTGTGACTGGCAATGTGCCAAAAAGTGGAAGCGCTGAGCAACTACGCGACCACGACCACTACCACCAAAAACACACTTACCTTGGCAGCCGAGTATAATTGGTTCGCCAATGCGGACACTCAGGTCGCGCAGCTCGTTCGTAAAGATCGGTGGGGGTGCATTGTTGGGGATGCTTTGAGGCAAGAAGTCCATTTACCAAATCATGTTAGAGCATAAGAGACGATGAGCGCCCGAGCGAAGAAGAGAAAAATTATTATGCCGGCATTTTAGAGAGAATGCAACTCTGCTCTTACAAAGAATTCTCTTAACTTACCTATCAGCTGGTTTCAATGAACCCTCTCTACTACCACGCCCCATTACATGCACCTTGGAACTAGAATATGATTTGCCCATACAGTTGACGGCCTCACAGGTGTATGTACCCAACGAGGTGGGGTCGTCCACATTGGCGGTCAGTGCGAATACATCACCAGCCTTGATCTCTTTGGAATCCTTGAACCAACGTAGCTGTGGTGTGGGTACACCAACAACTTTACATTCTAGTGAAACGGTGCCTTGTTGCGTAAGTATGGCACGTAATTCTTCAATGAACTCTGGTGTCTTGTAAGCCTTGGGCACTAAAACGTTCAAATGTGCAATGCATGAATTACGTCCACCTGTATTCTCCGCGAGCACCATCCATTGGCCACCGTCTTCCAATATAACTGGGCTCACTTCCAAATAGTGAAATGTGCCTTCATTTATCTCTTTAATTCGATCGGTTTCACATATTCGGCGATCATTTCGGTACCAAGTGAGCTGTGACAAATGCATACATACATATCTATTCGGCAAAGTAAAATACTGCTGGTTCATACCTTTAATTCCGTGGAACTTCGTATTTCGACTAACAATCGAGTACGCGTTCCCACCTTCACCGATAGATCGGTCAATCGTCGTAGAAATATAGGCGGGTCCTCACCCGTCGATCTGTCCTCGACAATGAGTTCGACATCCTTGCGAATAACATTGTTACCTTTCGTTCTAGCTATCAGCGTATAATGACCAGCGTCCTCCCGCTGCACGTGTTCTACGGCTAGTTGCACAGCGGTGCTGGTCTGTGTTATTCGAAAGCGATCGGAATTCTCAATTGGCAATTCTCCACGGCTCCTGTAGTGAAAAGAGAGTGGAGATGATTTAAGTCAATTATAAATCGTGGTAAAATTAAAAAAAAATACTCCTTCAAATTGGCGCATAAAATTTCCAAAGTATATAAAACATAGTGCGCAGGTACGTATGTAGATGTAAGAGCAGCTGACTTGAAAGGCTTAAAATTATGGCACCGACTTTTGCTTTGGCTGAAAGTTCCTAGTTAAAGTTCAGATCGCGATGATTGGGCAAATGAGCATCCTACCTTTGATCTTAGATAAGTACATTGGTACACAGATGATTCAAGGATAGAGGACAGGGCAGGTTCAAGTCTTTATGGAGCTGATACCAAACGTATAAAACTCGAAAAGTGTTTAAAGCGCGCTTTTCTAGTTATCGCTTTCAAACCGGAAGATAAAATCCAATCTGCTTAGGCAATGAGTTTGCTGGTTAATGGTCTTTATAGTACCAGAACCATTCTGCGGTCTCAGTTGATAAGTACTGGAGAGCGATGAGAGATCATAGACAGGCCAAGCTTTTCGGTTACCCTTTCAACAGATACGATATTATTGTATTAAAAAGAAATGACAACAATTGCTACCTAAGTGGTCACAACTGACACCATACAAGACGATAACTTTTCAGAACATATTATCTCTGACTTTCTGGCCTTGGCCAGGCCAGGATAATCTATTTTAAATATCCAACAATAATTTAACGCTTCGTCATGAGGAATTTGCCTATCGGGGCTCTTTTATGATTAATTAAGGCAACCAAAGGTATTTTGGACATACTGGGTTAGGAACTCTGCGATGGAAACACCAGGTGGAAAAGAACTTGGCTTCACTTGGCATTTCCAATAGGCGTCAGTTGGCACAGAAAAGGAACGACTGGAGTGCTTCGTTGAACTCGGCGAAAATCGCTTAGGCGGTTACAGTGCCAAATAAGTAGAAGAAGGGTTAGAGACTCTCTCCTTGAGAGATCTGTAGAAAAAGCTCTCAGGTCGCAGTGTTCTGTTCTACCGAAGCCATTAACTAATTATCTACATCCTCTGTTCCGGCTTTCCGAAGAATCAACTAGGCAATACCAACAAGATTACAAATTTTTAGGAAATTAAAAGTTGTGCACTGATCAATACGTAAACTTTTCGGCCCACTAAGATCATAATAGAAGTCCATACTTCACCCAACTGCTTTTGCAATGGACAGCCGAGAACTTTCACAACCGGTTGAAAGCCTGGATATAAATGAATAGTAAGATACCATCTTCCAATCTCTTCATATCGCTGACAAAGTCGTGACCGGCTATTACCTCCCACGCAGAAACTGCTGGTAGTACGAAGAGTACCGAGTCGCTCCTCTACATACACAGCTGCCTGAAATCTTTAGCTATGCGAAAGATAGTTAGCTGAGTGATAGAACGAACCATGACGAGGTGGGAACATTAAAAATGTGCTCTTTTTAAGCCAAAGCCCTTGGAACCGACGGCATATCGGCTGAACTGTATAAAGTCGGTGGTGCATGCACAGGCAGTTAAGTGTAATATGACCTAATGAATATATGCGCTAATATTGAAATCCATGGAAATGGTGGCCTTCCTTCCTTACAGCAAGATAAGTAATCTTATATATACGTATTTAATATGAGATCCTATGGTCAACACAGTGCGAGAAAAACAGAAGCCTTTTGTGAACCATCTGATTGGACCTTACCAGCGTACCATCAGGCCTAGCAAATCCGCCAATGACCAGATCATCATCGAGAAAATCTTGAAAAGATTTTAGATACGTAAATCAAAACCAACCCCCAAACACACACCATCCAAATTTTTGCATTCTGATTCTGAATTGGAATCAAAACGACGCGGACTTTGTTAGAAAGCTTGGGTGAATTCAAGAGAACATTTTTACGAAAGATCTAGAGTCCTGTGTGCGTGAGCGTGGTGTGACGAAGAAGATGGATTGTTGAGCTGGATAAGCATTGTTATAGCAGTTATATTTAAAATCAGTTCCCCTCATATTGAAATCGTAGAGGTTTTTATTTTATACATATAGGCACAGAATGCGAAGGGAGCTTTTATTTGATAAATATCTTGATACAATTTCTTTACAAAAAACGTATCAAGAAAACACCGGATTGGGCGGTTAGAGGGTTAAAAAGTTTTACAGAAATGTTAAGCATAAAATAACCTAGGAGCAGTGTTGGCACTAATCGATTGAATTTTTAGTCAATTAGTTAATTCATGATTAATTTAAAATCTGATTAAACAGCTAATCGTAACCGCGATTAAAAAAAATTAATTTTTAATCATTAACCTTTAATTTGATTAAGTAGGTTAAGTGATTTATTAATTTACGCTGGAATTTTCCTGTGCACACAAGGCCAGTTAATCGGGTATGGCTAAGTCGGTTTTCCGGTCGGTTTTGGTGTGCGTTTTCACTAAATCCCAGCTTATGTATTACTAATAAAAATAATAATTATTATTTTATATATTATGTGTTTTTATAAGCTTTTTTGGCTTCAAATTCGGACAAACTTTTTTTAATTGGATTAACGATTAATGATTAAAATTAATTAATCGCAATCACAACTGACGATTAACGATTAAAAAAAATCATTACATTAATCAGATGATTACAATTAGTTAATTTTAATCGTTAATCGCGATTAACATTTTAATCGTTAATTTTTAATCGTTAATCAGATTAAAATTTTGCCAACACTGCCTAGGAGTCACCGATGAAGAAAGCTTAACTACGTTACGTTGCACAGTAGCACAGAAATGGGAAGAGTCGCAAAATTGTGGCTTTACTATTTACATACGCGTGAAAAAATAGAAACAAATATTTTTCTTCAATGTATCAAAATCCGTGACATATCGAAAAGTACCAGATGTTCATAAATTTTAAAAAATCCGAGAAGACACGTATATTGACCATTTCGAAGTTTTAACATCTTTAAACGTATTAACTACTCAATAGATGTGTTAAATTTCTCATTCTACTCGATATGTACTGTAGAAAAGTTTCTGGGAAAACAATTTAAGTCAAGGTTGCCAGATATGTGAAAATTTAAAATTATTCGAAGGCTCACTGTATACTTCAATTCCTACACTTAAACAAAAGCCGTTTAAGAGATTTAAAAAAATATTTGGTAGTGGGGTTGCCACCTTTTTAAAAAGTTACAATTACGTTTATTAAAATAATATGCTTGTTTAATATCACAATATGGGTATCAAACGAAAGATGTTTGAACAAACTTTAATAACCTATATCGACCCCTTTGTGCAAAATTTTCATTTGTGCCAGAAACCAAATTTTACAGAGGAATACAAAACTTTTTTATTTATTTTTTTAAGTTTTTGTAACATACGATAAAATATGCAGTAAAGTTTTGTCGTAATTATAGCGATTTAAGCTACAATATTTTACCATGTGATGCGTTGTGGGGTGTAAATCAAATTCGCATCAGACAAGATATGCTAACAAGTAATTTTTAGCAAAAAAAAAAACCGACTTAAAAAAAATATATATATATCTATATATTTCATGATCCAATAATCGGATCTTAACCAAATTAGTATGGGACCACCTCTGAGACACTACCTTTCCGATGCAAAAAGAATTATCGAAATCGGTTGACGTGGTCCAAAGTTATGCGGTAACATACATAAAAAAAAAAAAAAAAAAAAAAAAAATATTCCGACGAAATGATAACCTCCTCCTTTTTTGGAAGTCGGTTAAAAAACTCATGCTCATGTACCCGCAGTTGCTTATATAACGTATACGCCCCGTAGCACCAAACGAAGTCATCTAACAAGTTTACTCGCACGCCTTTATTTAAAAGTCATATTATTTAAAAGTGATTATAAACTGGCTTTTAAGATTTTTACACAGTATTCCTTCATGTATATTACAAATTTCAATTGAATTCCGAGTGCACTAATAAAAATTGTATAAATGGAATTTTAGTTTCTCAAATCATAGTCATCATTTACTCAATAGATTTTTTTTTTTCATTTGGTGAGACACTAGCCTTATTACCAGGGAACGGATTTTTTGGACCTAAAAACCTATAAAAAAGGCAAAATAAAATAACGAAATAGGTTGGAAAAGGCAACATAAAATAGCGAAAAAGGCAGGAAAAGGCACTAGGTATTGCAAAAGAGCAAAATAAGGCACTAAAAAAGACAGAAAATACGAAGAACAATCAAAAAATACATTTATTTTAGAAATGTTTATATTACAAGTAAAAAAAAAAAAACTATAAACTAGTTTCATTAAAGTACAAAACCGCGTATCGTCATTCTACAAAACCGCATAACTGACAAAGGCTGCCAAAAATTGGATTTGCTCACACAAGCTCTTGGCTCAATCCTTATCCATTCGTCCTGAAATATACTAGTCTGAAATGCGATTGATTTATAAAAAAGAGAACCATTTGGAAATATGAGTGTTTTTACCCTCAAGAATATAATTTCTACAACTTCACATACGCGGTTTTGCACTTTAAACGACGATATGAAAAATTTGTACTTTGAATCTTTGACTATTTTATCCTTTCTAGTTTCTAACTCATAAAACTTTAATCTGTATAGTTGTAGTAACATTGAACCACAAGATGCATTTTGAAGTTTTCGGGCAGCATTTTCATTCGATTTTCGCGAAGAAAAGCCTGGAATGTAATAAATGTGCGCTCGACGTAAGTTGATACAAGTGGAGCCTAATTTAAATATGGAACGTTTGAAACGTTCATATTATCAGGAATAAGGGCGTTTTTTTCGCCCTTTACAATTTTAACCACACCCCTTATTGTCTCCAAGCCTACGTTAGCTAGCTAGCTTTAGTTAAATTATTAAAATTAAAAAAATTTTTTAATTTCAAAAATTACAAAATAGCTGCGACATATATTCGGCGTGCTGCCATTTTTTTTTTATTTCGCGGTGCACTCTTGAAACTTCATAGATATGTTGTATTTGATGCCAACGTTCCATTTAAAAAAAAATAAAAAATTATTATGATT